TATATATATATATATATATATATATATATATATATATATATATATATATATATATATATATATATTAAATTTTTTTAAAGTATACCTAGATTTAGTATATCTTCTACAAAACGCTACAAGTTTCAACTTGGATGCGCTGAAGGAGTGGAAAGTAGCTTCGTGTTTTTGGCGGGCGGTCATGGGTTCGAATCCGGTGAACTAGTGAAGGATGGGCATACTTAATACGGTGTCTTTTTTTCTGTTTTCTCTTAAACCTAAAAAAGTTCGAGCCATTCCAATTACTCGAACAAATCTTCATCTTCAATTGATAATCCTCTATTTGCATAAGCAGAAATAAAAGGTACTTATGAATTTTATTGGCAGCATGCAAGTTATGTAAATTCTAAATAAACTAAAATACTTGGTTAAATTGTATTTTCTTACTTATTTCTACAGTATCTTTGGATTTTGGTGATCCATCATTCACGTGTGAATTCTGTGGTATGACGAAAGGGCCGAAAAGTCTAGAGACACTAGCTACACATCCAGAGTTCTCTATTTGTCGTATGAAAGGAAAAGTATAAGAAATTACAATTGTATGTTTTCATTCACATTAATTGAAGGAAAATAGAAACATCTCAAAACAATAACCGAGCAGCTCCGCAGTTTACACTTAGGGGGAAAAATGACCACAAGATTGGATCTTTATTGCCACAAGAGGGTGTTGTTCCAAGATACACACAATTGTACATATATGATACACAGAATGAAATATCAAACCGAATGAGCCATTACAGGTATTTTACTCGACTTAATACACTTGCTTCATTTGCTACACATATGATTTATTTTTGAAAATGAAAGCAATAATTTTTACATTCTTATAAGTTTACTAACAAATACACACAATATGTTTGCATTGTATAATGCAGTAGAGGGAATAATGGTGCGACTACAGATAGAAGCTTAGTTCAGGATCTGAAAAATATGATATATCAACATAATATGTTAGCACAGAGTTTTAGAAGGACTAAAGACTTCATGGAGCATGAACCTACTACTAATGTTTCCCTAAGGTTATTGCGAACCCAAAGTCGGGACTAGAGAACTTATAATATTCCCACTGTGGATGAAGTTGTTGCCCTAACAGTCGAAGATTTCAATTCCTCAGATGCCGGACGAGATATCATTGTAAGGAAAAGATGTGGTTTTTTACAAAGGATTCATGAGACACACCCTCATTTCATACCTTTGCAATACCCATTGTTGTTTCCATGGGGAGAGGATGGATATGCAGAAGAAATTCCCATAAGGGAATCATTTTTAACAGGCAAAAATGATGTAAAGCGTCCAAGGGTATCCGTAAGAGAATTTATTGCATTTCGCATACATGAAAGGGATAATAATGGTGGTATAGTGTTACACGCACAGATGCTGTTCTTAAAGTTTTTGGTAGACGCATTCAGAATGGTAGAAGCCCAAAGAATTCAATGGGCTATTACAAATTAAGATCAACTTAAAGGCGACATTATGAGTGCACTAGAGTAAGCTGTTACGAGAGGTGATACAAATCTAGCAACTTCTGGACAACGGATTGTCTTGCCAACTTCTTTTACTGGTGGAATGAGATATATGTTTAACAACTTTCAAGATGCAATGGCAATTTGTAGGCGGTATGGATATCCAGATTTGTTTATTACAATCACATGTAACCCCCAGTGGCCAGAGATTGTAAGATTTATGACTAGAAGTGGATGTAAGGCTGCAAACAGACCAGACATTGAGTCTAGAGTTTTTCAAAATGAAACTAGATCACTTGGAGAAGGACTTAAAAAAGGAAAAATCTTTGGGATGTAATTCGAGGTAATTTGAATTTTTTTCATTTGTAAGAATTTAACATAAAATAATTATAGTGCATTGATTTGAATATGCAACTACATGCATACTTTTTATAGTTTATGTTTGATAGTTTTGTTGTTCATGTGCAGGTCTATAAACAGTCAAGTTCTAAAAACGAGGTTTACCTCATGCACATATAAAATAAGTACCCTCGATTGTATGAGTCTGTAACTCAATTGATGATGCATGGTCCTTGTGATGCAGATGATCCAAAATCACCATGTATGAATGAAGGGAAATGTAATAAATTTTTTCCCAAGTAATTTGTTGAGAAAACAACATTTGATTAAAGTGGTTATCCAATATACAAATGAAGAAATACGGGAATCAGCACCGTGAAAAAGAACATTGAGTTGGATAACCGTTTTGTAGTGCCATATAATCTAGAACTTTTGATGAGGTATCGAGATCACATCAACATTGAATATTGAAACAAATCAAATTCTATCAAATATCTCTTTAAATATGTCAACAAAGGACCAGATAGAGATAGAGTGCTTGTTGCAGTAGGACAATCAGAAAGTAATTATAATAATGCGGTTGGGTACAATGAACCATAGAAGTACATAAATTATCGATATCTATCTGCGTGCGAAGCCGCTTGGAGAATCTTTGCTTTTCATATACACCATAGGTGGCCAGCTGTTTTGAGATTGAATTTCCATCTTCCAGGTCAGAAATTTGTCACCTTCAAAGACAAGGAAGAAGTTAAGAAAGTAGTTCAACAAAATGTTGAACGTCTTTCAATGTTTAAGGCTTCGATGATGGCCAATACATAATACAAATGAAGCATAGATTAAGTCATTTGTATGAAGCATACAAATGATGGCCAATACATTAACTTATGCTGAATTCCCAGGACACTTTTTGTATGACAAAAAAAGAACGATGGTTTCCGAGAAAGCAAAGACCATCGATAGGCCGACTCCACTATGTTCCACCAAGAACCAGGGAGTTATATTACTTGAGATTTGTGTCCTTTGTGTAGATGATTTGTGAATTACTTGACTACATGATTGTCTATTTAGGATTTGATCTTATAAAAGAGCTGCATTACTCTAATTCTTTTTCAAAAAAATGGAGTATTAGAATAATTTTATTATTCTGTTTTTAAATGTATTCTTTTAATGTGCTACATTATTATCTTTTTTTCATTTGGTTAATATGTGTGGTTTTAATTATTTTTGTTTTAAAAAAAATATTTAGTAATATTTTAATGAACATTTGTTTTGCAGAACTTACCATCTTGCCTGATAATCTCCAAAATCTATGCTTGATTGAGATTGAGAAATTACTTAATTCAAACGGACGATCTTTAAAGGAGTTCAGTGGCATGCCATTTCCAATTGACGAGCCACTTAATAGATTTCAAAATAATATCTTAGTCAAAGAGCTAAACTATGACAGAGAAAAGTTTTCAATTGATCTCAAGCAATATTTATCAACGAGGAATGATGATCAAAGGAAAATATACGATGAGATAATGCAAGTTGTGACAGATAATAGAGAAGATTTCTATTTTGTGTATGGTCATGGGGGAACTGGAAAAACATTCCTTTGAAAATCATTGTCTGCTTCGCTTAGATCGAAAGGTAAGATTGTTTTAAATGTTGCATCCAGTGGAATTGCAGCATTGTTATTACTTGGTGGTAGGACAACACATTCAAGATTCTCAATCCCTTTGGCACTAACTGAATGTTCAACGTGTGCCATCAAACAAGGAAGCCCCAAAGCAGAATTAATCCAACAAGCGAGTCTAATAATATGGAATGAAGCGTGTATGATGAATAAATTTGCTTTTGAGGCATTAGATCACACGTTGAGAGATATTATGCGGTTTTCTAATAAAAATGCTACAAATGAACCGTTTGGGGTAAAAACAGTTGTGCTGGGTGGTGACTTCCGTCAAATCCTTCCAGTTTTTCCAAGAGCTTCAAGAGAGAAAAATTGTAGGCTACAATCAATTCCCCGAGTTTGTGGTCATTTTGTAAGGTCTTCACATTAACAAAAAATATGAGGTTGCATTTATCTGCATCCACCTATGAAGATAATGACACAGAAACTTTTTTGGCCTGGATATTAAAAATTAGAGATGGACAGCTTGGCATGGTTAATGATGGAATTGGTGATATTGAAATTCCAGTAGAAACCTTGATTCTTAACGCGAACTCTCCGCTTAAGACTATAGTGGAATTCACATATCCAGATTTATTAAAAAATATGAAAGATTATACTTTCTTTATAGATAGAGCGTTATTAACACCCACACTTGAAGTTGTTGAAATGATCAATGAATTTGTTTTGTCTCTTATTCCTGGTGATGAAAAGGAATATTTGAATTCAGATTCTTCATGTCAAGTAGATTCAGATGTCGGCATAAATGGTTATTGGATAACGACTGAGTTTTTGAACGATATCAAATGTTCTGGAATTCCAAATCACAAAATAGTTTTGAAGAAAGGAGTACTGATCATGTTATTGAGAAACATTGATCAAACATCAGGGTTCTGTAACGATACAAGGTTAATCGTTGAAGAGTTACGAAGAAACATTATCGGTGTAATCGTTGTATCTAGAAACAATGCCGGGGATAAAGTTTACATACCAAGAATGAATTTGGTACGATCTGATCCTGGATTACCATTTAAGTTTCAAAGAAGGCAATTTCCAATATCTTTATGTTTTGCCATGACTATCAATAAGACTCAAGGGCAAACATTGTCATTTCTTGGATTATTTTTGAGCAAATCTGAATCCACTCACGGTCAACTTTATGTTGCAGTTTCACAAGTGAAAGCAAAGACAGGATTGAAAGTGTTAGTTTTAGACTACAACGGTAACCCTTGAAATTTCACCAAAAATGTAGTTTACCCTAAAGTATTTCAAAAGATATAGATTTCATTTATACATTTATATGCTCTTTTCAATTTATATATGCATGCATTTCAATTAGCAACAATTTATGGTATATCAAGAAATAAGATGGAAAAGTTACCTGAGTAAAAAAAATTCGTTCGAACCCGTGCGTGGCACGTGTAGGAATACTAGTATACTAGTCCTTTATCCTTTATATATAATATTTGGGAGTTAAACTCCTAGAATCTTAACATTTGTCATGCTGAGTGGACAAGATTTTAAACAGCTCATCTGCCATGTCATCAAGTCAATGTACCTGTTGGTATTTCTTAACCAAATCCGATGACCCGTATAGTGGATGGCTGCCGGCTGGATTCCAGAAAACTCACCCGTTCGATCAGAACAGAAACTCGCCTGTTCATCAGCCTCTGCGATGAACTCACCCGTTCGATTCTAGAGATTCGCAGACAAATTTACGCGAATTTTCATGCAAATTCTTCGATATAGAGATGAGCACAAATACGATAAGTTTCCTTCCCAGATGAAATTGAGATGAGCGAAAATTCAGGGAAATTATTTCAAACTTTTCCTTTTCTTAAAAAATCATAATTCTTCTTGGGATGATTGTCCTTCTTTCCTTCTTATGATGATTAATCTCTGCGAAATTTGTTCTTCATTCAAATTTTCCGTTTCAAATCTCTGGATTTTCTACCCTTTTTGCTGTAAGTTTCCTTCTGGCGGTTTTCTACCCTTATTGATGTAATTTTCTACCCTTATAAATCAAATTTTAAGTAAGCCATTTCATCAACATGCTAGTGATACTCAACTTTATTTTCCGATGTGGTAACTCCAACAATTTTGCTATATTCTATGCCCCTAAACTCTGCTGCGTATTTTGAGATTTATGTTCTCTGATATTTTTTATGGCGTTGAGTTTAGTTTCTTAAAGTCCCTGGGTATTGGAAAAACTAACCGTGCTATATTCTGTTTAGTTATTATAGTGCTTGTTCATGTTGAAGTATCTCTAGTGCTAAAAAACATCAGACAAAACAACTTTTTATATCGCCTAAAAACTTTTCAAAGTCTTTAAAAAAAATTATACTTTCTAAACACGTTTAAATAGGCAGCACAGTGTTGTACCTATAGTTATTATAGTGCCTATTTTCTGTTTCTTTGCCATAAAAATTGTTAAAAAATAGAGAATCACATTTGTGCTGGATGTATTGATATAGTAAATGATAAGCACTGTAGTTAGACTCAGAGTTAATTTTTCTTATTTATATTATTTATTCTCCCTATTTTCATATTTGTATCCTATGGTGTCCATAGTCAGTGCATATTCTGTCCCCCCTATAATCTATTGCCTATTTTCAAATTTATATTCTCTTATATTTTTTTATGGCATTGAGTTTAGATTCTTAAAGTCTCTTTTTTTATGGCATGAAAGCTTGAAGACAGTTAACAATGTTCTGTATAACACATTCGAGGAGGCATGCGATGCATTAGGGTTACTTGCTTATGATAAGGAATTTATTGAAGGTATAAAAGAGGCTGCTGAGGCTTAGGAAGTTGTTCGTCACGTTATTAGTGGCAAATACCATGAGTCGCCCGCAAATTGTTTGGGAAAAATCATGGGAACGCCTGGTGGATGGAATTTTATTTGATCGAAGGAGACTATTGCGTAATCAAGGTATTTCAATAGAGAAATAGTTTTAACATATTAATCCTTACATAATGCATTGTCTTGAAACCTACAATTTTTATTCAGTACTTTGTAGAATTAAATAAGTTCCATTATTTCTAATTCTTTTTTCAGAGCTTATAATTTCTCAAGAAGACCTAAAGAATTTATGTCTGATTGAGATTAAAAAGTTGCTTAATTCAAATGGACGGTCTTTGAGGGAGTTCAGTTGTATGCTGTTTCCAGATGACAGCCCACTCAATACATTTCAAAACAATTTGTTGGTTGAGGAGTTGAACTATGATAAAGAAAAGTTGTCATCTGATCTTACGGGATACTTATCTACGATGAATGAAGATCAGCGGAAGATGTACGATGAAATAATAGAAGTTGTGACAGCTAGAAAAGGAGGATTCTTTTTTGTGTATGGTTGCGGTGAAACTGGAAAAACATTTCTTTGGAAATCATTGTCTGCTCCTCTAAGATCAAGTGGTAAAGTTGTCATGAATGTCGCATCCAGTGGGATTGCAGCATTGCTTTTGCCTAGGGGAAGGACAGCACACTCTAGATTTTCAATTCCTTTGGCGCTAACAGAGTGCTCAACGTGTGCCATCAAACAAGGGAGCCCAAAAGCAGAACTAATTCAACAGGCAAGTTTAATCATATGGGATGAAGCATGTATGATGAATGGATTTCCTTTCGAGGCATTGGATCGCACGATGAGAGATCTAATGAAGTTCGCTAATCCAAGCTCAATAAATGAACCATTTGGAAGGAAAACGGTTGTACTCGGAGGTGATTTCAGACAAATTCTTCTTGTTTTACCCAGAGCTTCGAGAGAGGGAATTGTAGGTGCTACCATTAATTCTTCAAACTTTTGGTCTTATTGTAAAGTTTTTAAGTTGACGAAGAATATGAGACTGTATTCATCAACGTCCTCTTGCGTAGATAGAGACACACAAGATTTTTCTGATTGGATAATCAAAGTTGGAGATGGAAAGCTTGGACAAGTGATTGATGGAACTGCTGACGTTGAAATTCCTCTCGAATTTTTGATTCTAGATTACAGTTCTCCCCTCAAAAGTATAGTGGACTTTACTTATCTGAACTTATTGGAGAATATGAGAAGTTATTCTTTTTTTGAAGACAGGGCACTACTAGCACCCACGCTCGAAGTTGTAGAGATGGTAAATGAATTTGTCTTATCCCTCATTCCCGGAGATCAAATGGTGTAGTTGAGTTCTGATTCGTCATGCCAAGCAGATTGAGATGTAGGTATTGATGGCGACTGGATAACAGTTGAGTTTTTGAATGATATCAAATGTTAAGGAATCCCAAACCACAGGATAGTTTTAAAAAAAGGGGTACCAATTATGTTACTGAGGAACATTGACAAGACATCGGGATTGTGTAATGGTACAAGATTAATTGTTGACGAGATGCGAAAGAATGTTATTGGTGCTATTGTGGTTTCGAGAAATCGAGTGGGTGAAAAAGTTTACATACCCCGGATGAATTTGGTACCGTCTGATCCAGGACTACCTCTGAAGTTCCTGAAAAGACAATTTCCAATAGTCTTATGTTTTGCTATGACTATTAACAAAAGTCAAGGTCAAACATTGTCATTTGTTGGATTACTTTTAACTAAGTCAGTGTTCACTCATGGTCAGCTTTATGTTGCTGTTTCGCGAGTTAAGACAAAGACAGGATTAAAAATATTAGTCTTAGATGACAATGGAAATCCTTACAGCCATACCAAAAATGTTGTATACCGTGAAGTCTTTCAAAAAATTTGGTATTAAAACAAAATTTGTTGAGTGTAGATTCAATTCCTTAAATATTATTCTTTTTACTTTGCCTTTTTTTTCTGTGTTATTATAAATCATGCATGAAGTATATTTCCTTTATTGCGGAAAAAAAATATTACATTGAAAAAATTCAGAATCGACAAGATATTCGTTCGACCCCGTCCATTGCACGGGTAGGAATACTAGTCCTTTATATATTATATTTGGGAGTTTAACTCCCAGAATTTTGACATTTGTCATGCTGACGAGGATTTTTTTTGACACTTCATAAGCCATGTCATCATATTGGACTTACTCAATATAAGTTTGCCCAACCTATTACTAAGTAATGAAACCCGAAGAAAATAAACCCGATGAGACACACCTTAAGTAGGCGTTCAGACTTACTTCGCTCTGTAGTCGCCGTGAAAGGAAGCTAACGTGGAGGGACGCTATAAGTAGAAGTTTAACGTCCACCGCGAGATTTTAGAGAATATGTGATTGGAATTAATCTCTTTCCTTTTTCACGGTCCTTCTTCATGGAGATTCCAACGATCGGTACCAAGAATAGGTAACTTTCCCTTTTCTTAAAAAATCATAATTGTTACTAAGGATAGTTTGGGAATCCCAAACCACAGGATAGTTTTAAAAAAAGGGGTACCAATTATGTTACTGAGGAACATTGACCAAACATCTGGATTGTGTAATGGTACAATATTAATTGTTGACGAGATGTGAAAGACTGTTATTGGTGCTATTGAGGTTTCGGGAAATCGAGTGAGCGAAAAAGTTTACATACCCCGGATGAATTTGGTACCGTCTGATCCAGGACTACCTCTAAAGTTCCAGAGAAGACAATTTCCAGTAGTCTTATGTTTTGCTATGACTATTAACAAAAGTCAAGGTCAAACATTGTCATTTGTTGGATTATTTTTAACCAAGTCAGTGTTCACTCATTGTCAGCTTTATGTTGTTGTTTCGCGAGTGAAGACAAAGACAAGATTAAAAATATTAGTCTTAGATGACAATGGAAATCCTTGCAGCCATACAAAAATGTTGTATACCCTGAAGTCTTTCAAAAAATTTGGTATTAAAGCAAACTTTGTTGTGTGTAGATTAAATTCCTCAAGTATTATTCTTTTTATTTTGCCTTACTTTTTTGTGTTATTATAAATCATGCATGAGGTATATTTCCTTTATTCCGGGAAAAAATATTGCATTGAATAAATTCAGAATTGACAAGATATTCGTCCGAACTCGTGCATTGCACGGGTAGGAATACTAGTATATATGTCAAGTTGAGTGTGTTGGTTGTAGTGTTGACATGTGGCATGCCACATGTGCATCCACATGTGTAGTTAATAATGAGGTGGATGCATTTCATTGGTTCATTAAACTTCTTTTTTTAAAGATCTTTTAATATATTTTATTTTATTATATTAAATGAATATTATTTTTTTAGCATAAAAAACTATTACTTTAACATTTAATAACAATTCTATAAATATATATTTCACCATTGTAAAATTTACTCCGTATTTTAAATATGCATATTGATTGTAAAATTTTAAAGAAGAGTATGCTTAAGACTCTTTATTATTAGTTTGAAAATTTTTCATTTCCAGAAAAATGAAAAAATATTTCACCTTCAAAGATATTAAATTGTTTTTGGCATTTTTATGTTTTATTGAATGTAATATTTTTTTAAATAAAATAGTTATAGAATTTTTAGTGCATGTACATCAATATTTAAAGTATAGTTTTTATTTAAAAATACTCTATATATCTTAGAGTGAAAAAATATTCATTTAATAAATAAAATTTTATTCTTAGAATGTCAAAAGTTTAGAATGTATATGAGTCTATGCGAAGCACGAGATTAACACTAGTCATAACGTATATGCAAATAAAAGTTTTGGAAAGATCCAAATACTAAAGATGACAACTAAAAGTGTACCCTAAATGTACACCACCCTCTTCATTACCACTCATTTTTATTTATTTATTGAGTAAATTCCATAAAAGATCCCTAGTTATTAGTCGTTTTACATATTTAGTCCCTACATATCAAATATTACTAATTTAGTCTCCAATTATTATATTATTTTTCACGAATGGTCCTTTTTTAACGTTTTTGTTAAGAACATGGATAAAATTGTATATTCATACTTCTCTCTCTCTCCTCAATTAAGCTTCCTCCCTCCTCTCGTACTCTTTCCCAAACTCGTCACTCAGTTTGAAGCTCTAAACCCAAAACTGAAATGATCATTTCGCTCTCAATTATTAGTCTTCCTGGTGGAACCTAAAATCAAAACCAATAAGCTTTATGGATAAATTTTATCAGTTAGTCTCAAGAAATTGCAAAGAAAATAAACATTAAAACTCATTCATGAAGGTTACTTGTAACACCCCAACCCGTGTAACCTGAACCAACGGGTTAGCGAACCGGGTTGTCACTAAGTTGACATTTGCTTGCATAAATTTTCTTTTTCTAAAATAAAAATTAAATCAATTATAAAATTCTTCCGTAGAGTTTTAACTAAACCCAAATTCATCAGAATAATTAAATAAATCCAAACGTCGCGGAAGCATAATAAAACCTAAGTAACTTATAACAGTCCATATAATCAAATAAAATAATGTGGTTTAATTATTAGAGTAAACAAGAGCCATCCACGCCACACCACCACTTCACTACGATGTCAAACAACAACGACTACACGCTCAGCGAAACGCTGAGTGAAAATATACCTAAGCCAGCATTAACTCACAGAATAGCACCACGTTAACATACAATCAACAACAGCATGTAGTCACAGAGGAAAATAGCTTAAATAAACATATTTATATTAACACCTTCCATTTGAACATCATGTCCTTATTTTATTCCACGTCAACTACTTTGAGTCATGGCACCCCAAGCGATGCTATAAAAGGGCCAGCTCGAAAACCTAAAGGAGATTCACTTTGGGCGGGTTGAAGCCCCTGTCCCTACGATGCCAGGACAGGTCGCGGACTTCCGTACGTACGTTTTTAACCCAAGACCACCGGGGGTGCGACGACACCCCGCAATGGCCAATTTCCTAACCATATCCTATTGGGGACTCAATCAGTCATTCCAATTCAGGTCCGCCTAATTATACTAGGTGACCTATTTCTCATATATTATTCATAATCCACAATATTCACGAATAAGATCAGTTTAATTTAAATCTCAGTTTACCATTCACAACAAATCACGTAGCGGCCTATCCGGGCCGAAGACCCACGATTACCGTCATGCATAATCAACAAACCCAAATTACAATCAACCCAACTTACATGCGCGGAATCGAGCCCAAAGAATCGATCCTCAGGCCCGCTGCCCCCGCCGGAGCAGTCCCCATAGTCGCCGGAACAACCCCGACACCCCCGCCGGTAGCCGCCCCGGCTGCCCAAAACCGAAGCCAGACCAAACAGCCCCGTTTGGTATTCCTTGGCCACCCAAACAGCCCCAAACAGGCCCAATTGCATCAATTTGAGTCCAAACAAACCCGATTACACCCAATTGCACCCGAACGGACCCGATTGAACCCAATTAGACCCAAATTGAATCCAATGGGAACTAATTGGACCCAATTAGATCCCACATAGCCAACCCAAGCCACTGTCGGAGTCCTGATCGGACTGCCGACGTACGCCGCCGGCGTCTCACCGGAATCCGGCGGTGTTCAACCCCCAATTCCTTCAAACCCAACCAATTTCATCAATTCACAATCAATTACAAAATCATACGTTAAGGAGGTTCTAATCCACGAATTAAAGCTAAGGGAAGGTATAGAAACCACGAATCACCTCGAAAATCGACGAATTCAACTTGAATCGGAGGAAACCCGCCGCTGCAACTTTCCCCTTGTTTCACCGGCATGCTGCGCACGACGGATGGACGGGACAGGGACGTCGGTTGGAACCGCTGGAGTCGGCGGCGAGTCACGGCAACGCTGCTGCTCCCATAGACAGAGACGAGCGGACGGCGTCCCTGCTTCAACGACCGGACGAACAGCAACAGGGAGAGAGAGAGAGGGACGCCGGCGATTGGCGAGCCTCGACGGCATCTCCGGTCAGCGAACAGAGCAGGAGGAACCGAAGAACGAGAGAGAGAGAGAGACGGCCGTCGGCCTGGCTCTGCGGGAAGGACAACGGATTGAGAAAAAAACGTATGTCCCACTAAGTGCTGGCACATCCTTTTATAATTAAAGAGGTTTTAATGTCCACTTCTCACTTCCCAATCCAATTGAGATAACTTTGAGCACAGTTACCTAATTCGTCACCCGTATCTTGGGCCCTATAAGTCCAATAGCGATCCGTTTGCGTGGTCGGATTCAGAACAGCGAGTTCTACCACATAAGATAACCCATCATTAATTAAGACAAATTAGAAAATAATTTTCATATTGATCGGCCAATAATTAATTACTTTTATAAATTAATTTAAATATCAGGCCGGGTTTCGGGGCGTTACATTACTGCTTTCGAATTTGGATTCCACCAGTTAGACAAACAATTGAGAAAAGAGTGATGATTTCAGTTTTGGGTTCAAAGCTTCAAACTCACCTACGGTTTTGGGAAAGAAGTGCGAGAAGAGGGAGGAAGCTTAACTGATGAGAGAAAGGAGTGTGAGTTTACAATTTTTTCCACGTTCTTAACGGAAATGTTAACAAAGGACCATTCGTGAAAATGAATATAATAATTGGGGATTAAATTAGTAATATTTGATATGTAGGGACTAAATATGTAAAACGACCTATAACTGAGGACCTTTTATGCAATTTACTCTTATTTATTTCTTTTTTATTTTACATGCCAAAGTATGTGGTAATGGAGGGGGTAGTGTACATTTGGGGTACACCAAAAGTGTACCCCTAGCATTTTTGTACTCCCTCTGTCTTATAATGTTTTCTTGTTTGTGTTTATGAAGTTAAACTGACTTTATTTTTAATTTAACTCATTTGATTGTAGATGTAAAATTAAAAAATAAAATATACTCCCTCCGTCCCATGAAACATGGGAGTTTTGCTTTTTAGGAGGGATTTAAGGGGAGTGTATTTTGGTATTGAATTTCCAAAAATGTCCTTTGATGTGATAGGTAAAAGTATGATTTGATGGATAAATTATTAGTAAAAAGGTATGATGTGATAGTTAGGGTATGAAAAAGTAAGGGGTAAAAGTGACTTTTTAATAGAAATGAGAAGTGTTTTGTGGGACAGATAAAAAAAGAAAGGAGAAAGGTTTTATGGGACGGAGGGAGTATATATTTAAAAACTACATCAAAAGTTCTACAAAACAAGTGGTGACTAGACTATATTAGTTTATCAAATACCTTATGAAAATAGGTAAAGAAAGTGATTAAAATTTAACCGTGCAAAAAATGGCTAAAATCCACCATTGGTCCTTCAACTTTATCACATGTGCATGATTGGTCTTTCAAGTTTCAAAAGTTCATAAATAGTCCTTCAACTTTATGAGTTCTGCACTATTGGTTCTTCAAATTTCAAAAGTCCATAAGTAGTCCTTCAGGTACACGTCAGCCCTCCATATGAAGTCCTTTTGACAGTAAATATTAAAAGTTAAACGAAATACTAGTTTCATATAATATGAGTAAATTACACTAGGTACGACTACTCCGTATTATATGGAGCTAGTATTTTATTTAGCTTTTAACGTTTACTATCAAAAAGACCTCATGTGGATGACTGACGTGTATTTGAAGGACTATTTATGCACTTTTAAAACTTAAAGGACCAATCGTGCATAACTCATAAAGTTGAAGGACTATTTATGGATTTTTAAAACTTGAAGGACCAATCGTGCATAATTGATAAAGTTGAAGAACCAATGGTGGAGTTTAGCCTGCAAAAAATAAGTGGAAAGAACATTTTAGGACGGAAGAAGTATTATTTAGGCCCAAAATGTTAGGTTTGTTCATCACGAGAGCCACATGATATGAGTTCGGCTCCCACAAATTTGAGTCAAGGAAGGAAGGCCCATGTCAAAAATGTACAGAAAATTATTTACGGGTGACGCGAGTTTTGTCGAAATAACTCTCAGGTCCCTCTATTTTCAAGAAGACAACCGAGGTCCTTATATTTTGTTGTAATGACTGGGAGGGGACATTTCATCCAATATTTCATCCATAAGTGTTAATAAATGTATTTTTTTCTATTTTTCAATTACCATTTTTTCCTATTTTGCCATTACTCGGTTTTTTCTTTTTTAGAAAATATTTTATTTCATTTATTTTAATATAATACAAACAATTTTGAATTTTTATCTGATTTTATAGAAGAAATTCTAAAATAACACTTTAAAAAAGAGTAACAAAAAAAGAAAAATAAAGAAATAAAAAAAGGAGCGACCTAAGATTTATTACCTTAAAATATTTAGAAAAAAGGAAAAAATACATTTATTTACGTTTATGGATGAAATATTGGGTGAAATGTCCCCTCCCAGTCATTACAACAAAATGTAAGGACCTCCGTTATCTTCTTGAAAATAGAGGGACCTGAGAATTATTTCGACAAAACCTGCGTCACCCGTGAGTAATTTTCTGCAAAAATGTATAACTGCTCTGCCTAGACTAGACCTGTGCAAACAAGGGTTGGCCCGTCCGGCCCGCCCAGCCCGCCCTTTAAAATGAGCGGATATGGATAATCTTTAATAGCCACATGGGTGGGCCGGCCCAAGCCCGAATTATATTTGGGCGGATCTGAAAGTTACTTTTAGCCCATCCGGGCCAAAAGGCCCGGCCCGCCCATATTCATTAAATACATTTACTTTATTATTAATTACCTAGACTATATAAATTTTAAATTTTTTGTAATTCATGTATAATAGTTCATATCACTCACCCCTCTTAAACAAAAATCTATAGTCTTTTAATGAATCTGTATGATGGGTTTATTAATTAATTATGTAACAATATTTATATTATGTTTTCTATGTAAATGTGGTGAGTGATAATTTTATTTTAAACATTTGAAAACGAGTTCATTTTTTTCTTTTTGAATTTGGTGTAAAAAAGATTTTCTTGATGTTTTATCCGGGCCGGGCGGCCCTGTGGACAGTTCGGCCCGCTAAGGTGGGCGGGTATGGGTAAAGAGTTTAGCTCATCAAATCCGGGCCGGGCCAAGCCCGCCCATTCAAATGGGCTAAAAATTTGTATCAAGCCCGGCCCAGATCCGGCCCGGATCCTTATTTGCACAGGTCTAGCCTAGACATGGCTTTCACCCCAAACCCTACTTCACTACACTACCTGTGTAGGCGAACGAAACCGTGCGCCCCGAGTCATGGCGGACAGAGGTGGTTTCGGACGAGGCTTCGGAGGAGAAAGGCGAGGAGGCCGTGGACCTCGGGGAGATCGTGGACGCGGTCGTCGCCGCCGTGCTACTGAAGAGGAGAAATGGGTTCCATGTACAAAGCTCGGTCGGCTGGTGAAGGAAGGAAGGATCAATTCATTGGAGCAGATCTACCTTCATTCGCTCCCCATCAAGGAGTATCAGATTGTTGATACCCTCATCGGCCCATCCTTGAAGGACGAGGTGATGAAGATTATGCCGGTTCAGAAGCAGACCCGGGCTGGTCAGAGGACCCGATTCAAGGCTTTCGTCGTCGTCGGAGATGGGAACGGTCACGTAGGTCTGGGTGTCAAGTGCTCCAAGGAAGTTGCAACTGCCATTCGCGGAGCCATCATTGCCGCGAAGCTTTCTCTGATTCCCGTGAGGAGAGGCTATTGGGGAAACAAGATCGGAAAGCCTCACACTGTTCCCTGTAAGGTCACCGGAAAGTGCGGGTCGGTAACCGTCCGGATGGTTCCTGCTCCCAGAGGTGCCGGTATTGTGGCGGCTAGGGTTCCAAAGAAGGTCCTCCAATTCGCTGGTATTGAAGATGTTTTCACATCCTCCCGTGGCTCAACAAAAACCCTTGGAAATTTCGTCAAGGTATTTGTATCTTCTTGTAATCCATGTGTTTTTGAATCTCTTTTATTATCTATAGTTAAATAGAGCTAGATAATTACTTTATATTGGTGTGCAGCTTTTCACTTTTTTTTGAATAGGCGATTCTTTTATCAATTTGTTTGCGATAATTATAATAATATTAGTAATTATAGATGTAAATCAATCATATATGGAATTAAGTGTGTGGCTGGTTATTACTTTGGCATGTATTTTCTTGCTGGCTATTATGAAGAGTTACAGGACTGTTTGACAATTGGATTGTTTATGTTTCTAAAGTTTTGCCTGGAAATGCACAAATTATTGAATCATTCCTTATCTTTTTGAAACACGAAATTATGATTTATGTGTTTCACATAAATAATCAAATAAGAAACCTGAAATGATTGTAGATCTTTCACTTTTATGCCTAAAAGTACATCCATTTTTATTTCAATTTGACTTAGTGTTGAAGTGTATTTACTTGCCTTGGATTTCTTTTTTATTGTCGCAATTTGGAACATGATTTGTCCAAAGTTTATCCTTTTGCGTACTTTTAGTTAATGGTTTTTCTCTGTTTTGGCAGGCAACTTTTGATTGTCTCTCTAAGACATACGGATTCCTCACGCCAGATTTCTGGGCTCAAACCAAGTTCATAAAATCCCCATTCGATGAGTTCAGCGATATCTTGGCTTGCCCCACAACCAAGTATAGTGCTCCAGCAGCTGGTGAAAAGCCCGAGGCGTGAGCTTTAGATCTTCTTTGTTACTAAGATTATGTCTGTTTTGATTTTATTCCCAATCCAGGGAGCTCAATTTTCTTATGGCTGTTAATCAGAGTACTACCACCCCAGTTTGTTTTTTTGCTTTTTTCATTGACTGGCGTTTATGTTTTCAAATAGACCAGGGCTTGTGCCATGTTGCCCATTCATGAAAAAAAAGACTTTAATACGAAAACCTTAGTGCTCATTTTAAAGTTGCTTCCCAATAAATGCCAAGTAAGATCATGTTCCTCGCTATTTTTGTAGAAGCGACCTTTGCTAGTTTGCCTTTCCCTTCATATAATTGCCATTCTTTTAATACCTTTGTTCTCAAGTTAAATTCAAAGCTCAAGATATTGTTGGGGTGGAAAGCTGTTAGCCTTGTTTGGATATTGATTGTTTGTCTTAGCTGTTTTGAATAATTGTTTAGTTTAGGTTTGACCGATTGGATGTGTTGGTTGATCGTTAAAAATGTTTGGTAAAATTAGTTGTTTGAGAATAAACACAAATAAACACACACACAGATATAGACACACACAACAACAACAACAACAACAACCCAGTTGAATCCCACTACAGTAGGGTTTGGGGAACACACACAGATATAGAACCGTTAGATTTGGATCTTTCTCTAGTCTATTTCTGTTCTAGTGCCTGGGCATTTTAGGACTTTTACATTTTAATCTCTCTTACCTTATACATTTGATCTTTTCTCCTCAAAACTTGCATCTGATCTCCGCTTTTTTTATTTCCATTTTGCCAGTTGCTAGTATGGAACCTTTTTGATTTCCTGTGTGTGTATGTATGTATGTATGTATGTATGTATGTATGTATGTATGTATGTATGTATGTATGGATTGATGGATGAATGGATAATGCTTTTAAATGATTTTTACTTTTGACTTTTTTTCATTTCATTTATTTTGTTTTTAAATTTTAAATTTATTTTTTAAATTTTATGTTTTTAAAATATATTATTGAATATCTTTCAGAAAAATGATGAAAAAAATTATTTTTCTAACAGCCAAGTCCAAGAGCTACTCTTCTTGTGTAACACTCCAACCCGCATAACCTGAATACTCAGATCAGCAAACCAGGTTGCCACTAAACACCACTTGACTTTTCAAAACAATTCAAGTAAACATTTCAAAACATAGTTTAACATTCATCGGAGTAATACTCAAAATAATTGCGGAAGTTTAATTCATAATTCAAAGCACAACTTGGGAATCATGCCCGAAATAGTAATAAGTTATTTAAATAAGAAATTATAGTTCAAAGTCATCGAACACTGCCACGCACATCTCAGCATCCTCATCGCCCTCCGAGATTGGCTCCAAATTCATCGTTCCCTGGATTACCTACGTGTAGCAAATAGGAAAAGGACTACACGATCAGCATTGAAGCTAAGTGAGAAATATCTAACATAAAGTTATACCCATATATGATCCGACTAGCCCATATCATCATACGATATCATGCACGCAACATGCTCAACAACAATCATGACATTATACAGGATATAACATACATAATAAAAAACATCATCATTCAAGAGATACCATACTAGGGATATAACATCAGATTCTTTCTTCTTACTTTACTTTACTTTCTCTCCACACTTGGCTTTATTGTTGCTTTAATTTCATATTTTCTTTAAAATTTTGCCAAACTAAAAAAATAATTCCAAAAATGATAGAAGGATAACATATTAAATCCTATTCGAAGAATAGAAAATAGTCTTAAGTCCATGGCGTGCAAGGAGGCTCTCTCTTGGCTGTTGGAGAGAGGTGTTTGTGAAGTAGTGCTTCATTCAGATTGTCTTCGTGTGGTCTAGGTGATTAACAAGGATGATACGACTAATATGATTTCTTGGTTTGGGGCTTTGATAGAGGATTGTGGGGTTCTTATGAAATCATTTAATTTTGTTTCTTGTTCATTTGTTCCTCATAGCTCATGAGCTTGTGAAACATGTTGAGAATCTTTTCTGGTACTCAGAACTGACCCTCCAAAATTTATATAAGGTGTGATCTTTGAGTTGGATGAGAACTTGTTACCTAGATCTATTTTCTTAAAGAAAATGAGAAGAATATAAATTTAATTATGTAATTCGGGTGATTTTTTTTTAATTTGTGAGGGAATGGTGTTTTTCATGAGTAAAATTGGGGAGAAAAAAAATTAACAAATTGAATAAAATTCATTTAAGTTCGATTAACAAATCTCCAAGGCCATTCCCCTGCCATACTTCCACAAAAGGGGGTAAAATAACCTTTTGCAAGTACCTCCCTGACAGCCTCTTTCTCTCTCTAGAACTACAAGCATCTCCCTATCTGCCTCTAGAAAATATTTCTATGATTTTCAATTTCGTTGCGCACTCGGACCGGTAAATCCACTCACTTTTGCTCCGATTACGGATCGTTAACCTTACGCCGGTGCAGGTTAGAAATCCCGACCACACTGAAGTTCTTCAAAATTCAAAACCCACGCTTAAACAACAACGTTTGGCGCTCACCTCCTTCCGGCTGCCGGCCGATCCTGTTACCCAAAACGTTGGTGTTAGAAGTGCGCGCGATTGCAAAACCTTCCCACTCCTGAACATCTCTGCTTGACCTGATATAGATTTTTGCATATATTCTTCCACATACACGGAGGTGAGGCTTTTGAAATTTGTTTGCCTCAACGGCCTCCCTGTTTATCTAGTTTGGTTCATTAGAGTGCGGCCTCCGACCATGGTTAGGCGGGTTTCATTCCAAATTGCGAGTTTCCACGTATTTTAGGTCTCAGGCAATGGATTTGTGAAGTTATTCACATGATATTCTTCGATGCTGAGTGTGTGATAACCGATCCATTGATTTTACTGCAGAATCTGTATATTTTCATCATTTTTATTGAGTCTGGCTCGTTTCTTTATATAATTGATGAATTTTGATTAATCATAGTGTTTGAAATTCTGTTCTGGAAGAACAGAGGTTTATGGGATGCTCTGTTTCCATAACAGTCTTTTGAAACTTTAAACTATATTAATATGATTCTTCTTCAATCAAATTGAAATCTGAAGTATGGTTCTGTGCACCATTTAAACTTAGGGCTGTAATGCTTTTCCATTGTGCACGGTGTTGGTATATTTTGCTGCTGGAAATGTTAATTCACTGATTTCCTTTGAATGTGTTTTGCTCCAGGGCTTTAATAAATTTCATCCCTCACCATTCCAATCACTTGCCTCATTTGGTAAGAGGAGTGCCAGAGAAGCTTTTTTGTATTAGATGGTATGGCCTTTTACAGGAATTATTCGAATGAAACAGTTGAATTTGAGGAGAGAATACCCGCGCAAGGATGCATAGATAATGGATTTTCCAAAATTGAGGAGGTAGAGGCTACATCAAGCTACAATGATGATGTCAGTAGATTGCAAGATCGTGTTTCTGAAGATGCTCAGAGGATAGGGGATGGGCAACCATCTATGAGAAGCGCACCTGTAGTCGGACAGTGGGCCTCAAGCTATTGGAGGGATTCTCAACAAATGCACGACAATGACATGTCTGAGTTAAGGGATGATGCAAAGAGTGGTTCTGATTATAAAAATGAGGAAGAATCTGAAGATGAGTCATTTGATGGTAGGGATGATAGATTGGATTCAGAAGACTATGGTCAACATACGGAAACAAGAAAGGGTGCATGTGTTCCTGCTGATGAGATGTTGTCTGATGAGTATTATGAACAGGATGGTCATGATCAGAGTGATTCATTACGTCACAGTGTCGCTAATGATTCTAGTGGCAATAACACCAAGCTTCCAAAGCTTGGTGTTATTGCTGCCAGAAATAATGCATCAAGAAAGCTAAAAACTTCCAAAGCTTGCCAGTATGATGACGATGATGCTGATTGTGGCGAGGAAGAAGAAGAAGGTAATTGTAAACTTCACATAATCTCTTTGAAAAGTATATTTTTTAGGTAACTGCTTGTCTGCCTGATTTTCCATGTTTTTCTCATCATATACTAAATGGCAATGATGTGGTCCCCATAAACTATTACTCTGTATGTTAGTGCGATGACATGGTTTCAGAGTAGGGGATTTTTGCATTGTCCTTAACATGGTTGTTCATTTCTAATTTCCTACAGAAGATGATCCAGATGACATGGATTTTGATCCTGACTATGGAACTACAAGTGATCACAAGGGAACAAAGGTGTATTCATATTATCTCTTGTATATGAGCTAATGCATTCATAATTATTGTTCATTCTAGTTATTGCTGTTGATACAGATTTTAGCCCCTTTTGTTAGCATTGTTGCATTACGGAATAGTATTGGTTACTAAGGGATGTAAAAGGTCCATGCATACAATCACTACATGCATATTTTTTCTTTAATAGCCACCTGAGGCGTCTTTTGAGTGTATTCTAATGCTCATTTGTACATAATTCAAACGTGCCCAAACCTGTTTTTTCTGGACATGCAGAGATCTTAAGGGAGACCCTGAAAAACATCTGGTCACACTAAAATTTGAAGTTATCTTTAACTCCTTACATTAAATAAGAATATGCTGGGGATACTTAAGTACTTAACAAATTTATGCATCTCTGTCTCTTACTGTGTCCCTAGTATTCTTGTTTGGTTGTAATGACATAAAATGTCAGAGGTGTGATCACAAAACATTCCGGAGATGGGGAAAATGACTACTATTTATATTCAGCTCAAATGTAAATCTTTTATGTTTTATGACCAATGTGAACCTTTCCCTCCAAGTGAAGGAGTACATACCATGTGTTTCCAATTAGTAGGAGTAATTTGAAGAGATTGAACAAGGAATTTAACACAATACTCCCCCAGTCCCATTTTATCACTCTCTTTTGTTTATGGGTTTTCCCAGACATTTCAACTTTCCTACTCTGAAAACTTCAAACTCCACTAATTTTTTACATTATCCGAATTCCAATTTACACTTTAGTGACTTGACGTGGTGACCTACTTGCACGACTTTTAAAAATGCTTATTCACTGCATTTTTAGTTCTCCATCATCTCCGATGGAGCCAAAAATTCACATTTTTTTGGCTTTGGGGTTTGATCGAATAAAGCAAAATTTCTCTTTAAGCTGTCTGCGCTTCGTTCAATAGTGAAGTCGTAGTTAGTCAATGCAACTTTTGCCGCTCATCATGAGCCATCCAAAAACAGCCGCTCTATGTTTTAAACATAGGGGTCAGACTTAATGTTGTATTGTATTTACTACCTTTTAGAGGGCAATTTGAAATGCTGATATCATATTGTTTGTTTCCTTAATACAAGTGCAAAAACATTTGGGACCTATAAACCTGGACGAAGTATGTTCTAGTGGGACTCTGTGCGAAAGTGGTAATTTTAAGTTTTATGTTGTGGTATCTGTGGCTGAAAATGGGAATGGCGAGTGACTAGAACGCGAAGGATATGAAAGTGTAGCTTTAATGATAGCTTTCGTATTGAATTGGGTGGAACTAATGTTGGGTAATCCATTAATTTTGCTTGCATCTGCAGGATGAAGACTGGGAGGGTGAGGATTCTGATGAACCGAATAATAGTGAAGATGATCTGGATATTTTAAATGAAGCTGATTCCTATTTAAAACAAATAAGGGGCAAGCAACAAATAAGGGGTGGTCGGAATGCAAAATCTACCAGGGAATATAAATACATTCCACCTTCAGCTCGGCGCAAAAGAGGCAGAACATCATTTGAAGATCAAGAATCTTCTGAACATGATTCTGAAGATTGTAGTGATGAATGCTTTGGGAGTATCTCTAGAAGAGGTGGAAATTTACGCAAGAAAAACGGTGGTCGATCCTTGACTGGAAGTGTTTCTGGTAGGATCACTGAACATCGAACATCAGGGCGTCGATCAGTCCGAAAAGTCTCCTATGTCGAGAGTGAAGAAAGTGAAGAGCTTGATGAAATGAAAAAAAAGAAGTGCCAAAAGGTGTGATCTTGCTACCATTTCTTTTATTGTATTTTTTACTTTAATCTTATTGCAAGCTTAAACACAGATGTGAAGTGGCTGCGTGTCTAATATTTTGTTGTTGGAATGCTGTAGTTGATACTAAATGAGAGACTTCTCAATTTATAGATTCTGTTGAATCATGTATTGGAATAGGAATAAGGTAGCTATCGATAAATGCGATTGTGTGAATTAACTATTTATACTACCACAGCTACCAATACCGTTGTTTGATTAAGCTCTGTCTATTGCATAAAGTCCCAAGCAATTCTGATACTGCTGTCATTGGGACCATCCGTTGTCTGACTTTTTAAATTAATTTCATTTGAAAATTCCAACAGGAGGAGATTGAAGAGGAAGATAGCGATTCAATTGAAAAAGTATTATGGCATCAACCAAAGGGCATGGCAGAAGAAGCCAGGATGAATAATAAATCAACCCATCCTATGTTGTTAAGCCACTTGTTTGACTATGAACCTGATTGGAACGAAATGGAATTTTTGATAAAATGGAAAGGCCAGTCTCACCTGCATTGTCAGTGGAAGCCATTTTCTGAGCTACAAAATGTATGCCTTTTGTTTTTGTGATTTTTTTGAGCTTCAGATTACTTTAAGGGTAATGATAGCCACACCCGCTAAAACACTAAATACACCCACTTATGCATAATTATGTTATCATTTTTTAAAAATATATAAACTTTATTAATTCTAAAAATAATATTATATATAAATTTTTAAAATTATCCAGCATTTATTTCATATCATTACTTCACAAAAAAATTATATAAATTATAATTTTAAACATTTGCCATCTCTTATTATAATTTTTCATCAATTAAAATAACTTTTATTATTCTCGCATTCAATTACCATTATTTTTGTATAAAAATTTCATTTTCTTAGTATTATACCAATACACGTTTTGCCATTTTAGTTTTTAATATACATAATTATTTATTATTTTAAAAAGAAGCTTATATGAGTTTAATTTAAAAAAAGATTTGTATAAATTTTTAAACTACTTTTAATCTCGGGCCATTGAATGTAGTAAAAATGGTCATTGCATAATTTATAAAAAAATAATGGTCATTGAATGTATTGATAACGATAGTTATTTTAATTAACGTAAAATTAAAATAACAGATGTCAAAATTGTAAAATTAAAATTTAAATATACTTTTTGAAAAGTAATAAAATGAAATAAACAGTAGATAATTTTAAAAATTTATATTTGATGTTTCTTGAATTAATAAAATTTGCAGAACTTTTTTAAATAATAAAGTATTTATGCATAACGGGGAATATTTAGTTTACGGGGTGTATTTAGTGTTTTAGCGGGTGTACCTTTCACAATTCTTACTTTAAAGCATTCCAGTGATGCACTGCATAATTTTGTTGTTATCAATTGTCAATATTCTTTGTTTGCAGCTTAGTGGGTTCAAAAAGGTTCTGAATTACATAAAGAAAGTGACTGAGGATGTGAGGCATCGAAAAACAGTATCTCGTGAGGAGGTAAGAAGTTTCTAGTTTTGCTAATGGTTGGCCTTGCATGTAGACGTTAAACATTTCATTAGATTCAGGGTTCACTGATTTTTCGTGTAACTTGTCTCTGGTCACTTCATAGTGACATAGCCCCTTCCACTGCCTCATAGTGACTTGCATCCCCTATGTGACAAGGCTTCGTTTGTCTCTCTAATTTGACAGCTGTTTCAAAGCAACACAGTTTCTACATTGTTTCCTTTCTCTTTGATGGGATTTCTTTGCAGAATCAGTGTTTTTGATGGGATTTCTTGCTGCAATTTTGTCATAGTGACTTAGGCTTTACTCTCTACAACTTCTCTTAGCATAGTGGGTGCTGGAAGTGCATTGCTTTTTGACATATTCACATTTGGTTATGCCCTAAAATTTGGACAATTTTTATTTTTGAACATATAGACCTATATATTTGATTATGTAGCAAATCTTATACTCCCTTAGACCCGGAAAGCATTTCTGTTTCAATATTCCAGGGGAAAGTTGTTACGGCGTCACCTAGGCATTGACTTGGTGTCCTGCTGGTTTGCAACTTTTGCAACTCTTGCCATCGACTTCCGCCTCGCCAAACTTCAACTTCAGCAAAAAAGTGTCCGGTTCCGGATCCCTAGGTGTCCGATTGATTGCCAATTCTTGAAGTCAATTTTTTAAAACTAGAAACGGACAAATCCAAACTCTAGTCAAGAGCCGCGTGAGGAGCTAAAAAAAACACCTGGCTCGTGCGTTTAGTTATGTTTCTGTATGCATTCGTAACTTTTATCCCTAGTTGACTTTTAAATTTATTTTCTAAATGTTCTTTTATCATTTAGTGGTAGTTGATTAAAAATTAATTTTGGAAGTACTGAGTTTAGCCCAATCAAGCACAAATCTGTTGACAACATAATTGAGTTCTATTTATAAATAAATCTTTTTAAATAATTATAATGCATATCTTGCCATTATATTTTGGTGTATGTCTATATTACTAAATTATTTTCTTAGTATTTTGATTGATTTGTGATAGTTGCTTTGTAAACTATTTTTTGAGGTGATGATTTTAAAAATGTTGGTTTTAAATCTTATCGTAGAAACAAATTTGGGCATTATTTATAAATTAATATATATTTTTATAATATTATTGACTACCTTGCTCTACTTGTATATTTCAGCGTGTATCTATATTACTCCCTCCGCCCTTATTTAGAGCCCGTTCTTTAGAGCTTAAACTCTTAACTTCAAGTTTCTTCCAGTTCTTTCTAGTTCTTCCTGTTCTTTCAGTTTCTTCCAACTACTCTCATTTTCTTCAAACTCTTAACATTTACTCTAAAAAGAATGTATTTTTAATGTGATGATGATGATGATGATAATAATAATAGTAATAATAATTGGTATTATCTTCATTATTAATATTATTAGTACAACTATTATATTCATAACTATAGTTTATAAATTATTTCATTTTTTATTTTTTCCATGTCACTATTTTTACGATTCACTTTTCTAAATTGATATGAGGAAAACATTTCAAATTTTTATAAAAATTTTTGAAAGTCAAATATTTTAGAGAAAAAGACTAAACTAGGAGTAAAACATTAAAAAAATGTACCAATATTTATGCTAACTTAATATTCTTATTTTTTTGCGAAGGTAGATTTTTGTGTATGAAAAAAGACAACACTTTTTTTATCTTAAAGACATTGATTAAGATAAATATAATAATACGAATACTACTACTAATAATAATAAATTATAACTACAACAATTAGAATGAGAATAATATAAAAAATCAAACTATTTTTTTTTAGATTTAGCAATTTTTTTTAGTTTTTTCAGTTTCATCTAATTTCTTCCAGTTTCTTCCAACATCCAACTCTTTTTTTCCAGTTTTAAAGAACTCTTCCTTAGTCCTCTCATTTTCTTTTTACACGGAGTTTAAGAAATGTGAAATTTTGTGGTGGAAAATTGTGCGGAGGAGAGAGAATTGATGTGAACCATACAAAAAAGGAAAGTGGGAAGATTAAAGTGGATGTATAGACTATTCTTTAGAGTGTGTGTATTTGAATATGATAGAAAGTACTTATTGTTTACTTTGTAATGCAAAGTTTATGAACTACAATATATTATGTGATACTCCCTCCATCCTAACGTTCCTCTTTACTATTTACATGGTCAAATTATATTTACTTTCCTTACCTATTTTCATTGAAGTAGTTTTAAATATATAAGTTTTAGTTATTAATTCTACACCGATCTTTATATACATTGAATTGAAAATAATTTAGGTCAAACATCGTAATTCAAAACCGAAACATTGTTATGGTACGAAAGGAGTTAATATTTATATATATTAGTGTTACTTATGTACAACAATTTTCACTTATCACTTGTCGCCCAAGCACTCGCTTAGTTGACTAGGTGTCATGGCGTTACATTGGAACCGCGCCTCGCCTTGGTGTCTTGACTAGGGAAATTTTATTTTAAATTTTCCTCAATTTTCATATAAATTGATTTGAAAATAGATTTATTCAAACATCATAATTCGCAACAAGAAAACGTTTATGAGAAGGAGGGAGTAAATATTTTGCATGAATGTGTTTATTAATAGTAGTCTTCAGTATGAGTAGAGTAACTAATATATATATATATATATATATATATATATATATGCATACACACATGCATATATGATCATCACAGTTCTTTTTGACCTTGGATTTCCAATTGCTTTTAAGAAAGCACCGCGTGATCTACATTATTTCTTTCATATGTATTAATCTCAACTGCACACTTTCTATTTTTCTTAAACTTTGAAAAAGAGGAAATGGGAAATTTGGGACTAAGGGAGTTTATATTTTGTTATATCTCACGCTTGACCATGCTTGGCGTTCCTTGAATTTTTAATGGCCATTTTTCGTATTCTGTGTTTTCATGCTACTCAATACTCATAAAAAGGGGAGAACTACTTTTTGATGGCGAGTTATATAATAAAGCCCTATAAGATATTTTGAACTTTTTTAATGTGCTCATACTTCACGTACTTAATTTAAGCTTTTTATCCAAGTAGGGGTTATCAATTCATAGTCATACTTGTTAACATGTGTATAAATGTTTTTTTATTCAAGCATCAATGATTTATCCCCAGAATTCTATCCGATATTCTATTTTTTATGTTAGATTGAAGTTAATGATGTGAGCAAGGAAATGGACTTGGACATCATCAAACAAAATAGTCAGGTTTTTCCGCCTTGAATTTTTTACAAATTGTGTTATTTTACTTTTCATTTTGTGTCAAGAAGTTAAACGGACTAGGATCTTTTGATACTGAACCTTCATAATATGACATCTTGCACGTAAGGTGCCCCGTTCGTAAAATTGATGGTTCCTATCTCCCAAACCCTGTTCCCCCACCTCTGCCCCCATTAGATCGCAAATTGCCAACTAGGGGTTGCAGTTGGGGGGGGGGGAACCGTCAATTTTACGAATGGGGCACCATAGAGCCCCAATGTCATATTATGACATTAAGGTTTAATGTCCAAAGAACCTCAGTGAAATTCAACACACACATATAAATCTATGTCCTATACTCATGATTGACCTATATACAGGTCGAGAGAGTTATTGCAGATCGAATTGGAAAAGACAGTTTCGAGAATGTGGTGCCAGAGTATTTAATCAAGTGGCACGGGCTTTCTTATGCGGAAGCAACTTGGTAAACACTTCGTTATCTAACAAAAAAGAAGAAAACCATTGCATGATCTTGTGGTCTGTTACTTTTCATTTGTATGAAAATGTATTCTTAGGTATTGCATTGGAAGTCATAATGCTCGCATGGAATTGAGTTTGGATATTTTTATGACTTTTTATCTTATTCTAATATCAGGGAGAAGGACACTGATATTGCATTTGCTCAAGATGCAATTGATGAATACAAGGTAGTTTCAATGTTTGTACTTTTGCATTGCATGACATTTTTTCTTGTGATCTTTTAATTGGTGCCGGCCATGGGGAAGTACACTTCTTATCTTTGCTCACTTGTTATATATATGTATGTATGTATATATATGTGTGTGTGTGTGTATATATATATATGTGTGTGTGTGTGTGTGTGTATATATATATATATATGTATGTATGCCTGAGCTCAAATGTATTTGGAATTTTGGTGCTCAATTGTTAATCAACGTGTCCGTACTGGGTTCATCGGTTTATGAAACTTAGATACGTCATTCATCAAACTAGAATAAACAGTAATAAATGTCCATTGGAAAAATGGTGAGAAAACTCAGCTATGAAAACTTTGAGATGGATTGATTTGATTGGTGCCTTGAAATCAAGAGGTTGACAGAAGCTGCAGCAGATAGCCACATACATTACTGTATAGTCGGAAGCCTTTTGCTCCTCAGTTGGGAATGCAATTTAAGTGGAATGGGTGTTGATTTTTTTGAGCCAATAATGAAGATGTTTTAATGATCATTGTGTTTGGGGGCGTTATTTAGCAATTAGGTTTCTTTTTTACTTTTATTGGTAAAGATATTGTGTCCCTAAAGAAATTGCCTCTAGAACTCATAGTGTTCCTGCATTAAGGCACTGCTGCCTGATGTTCCTCATAAAATTGAAGAGGTGGAAAATCAGTATTTGAGCAAGCAGGATTGTATGCAATTTTCTTTGCAAGGTGAAAGCTGATCTTGAGGGATAAAGGGAGATCTAAAGCAATTTTAAAAGATCCTTTGAAAATAATTTCAAAAGCTTTCTAATGGGTTTCTGAATACAGGTCGACATTGGAAAGTCTTAAGTTATGAATGGTTAGGATATGTAAGGCTCATTGTTCACATAGAGGTCTTGAGAGAATAGTTTCGTCCTTGATATAAACTCATGTTTAATTTAATCAGTTGTGTTTGCTTGTATTTATTGTTAATTATACATCATTATATAATGGGAGCGTGCACAGTCCAAATTAAATACAACTAACTATTGGATGCATAGACTAATACAATAATTGAAATCCAGTACTAATTCAAATATACAATAACAAAAGAGAATTTGTTTAATGATCTCAAACTACTAAGTGATCTAATGATATAAGACTCTTTGACCATATCAATCTCCTTTGAGCATGGGCTCGGCATGTATCCTCAGTTCTAACCTCTAAGTTGTTTCCTTTTGATCTTGAGCCATGAAAGATATATAACATGTCTGTATGGTTTTGTGGAGTGAAGGCTATACATTGAATGCTCTGTACTGTAATTAGTTTTCTACTTTGTAGAGTTTTGATACCAAATTTAATGTTACATAAGACGGAGTAGTTCATTTGTAAATAGTTTGAGTTAAGACTAGTTACCAAAATGGGCCTATGATTTTGGGTTGGAGGGCTTGGGCCTTTCAACAAAGAAAACAACCAACTTATTGCGCTGTTTTATTCAAACATACCTTGAATTTTGATTCTTGTTTTGCTTATTGTTTTGCATGGATATTTCCAGAGTAACTCTTGCATGTGCCAGTCTCATGGAGTCTGTATGAGACCTATCAGTTGTGGGCGTAGAGTTAACACCTTTGGACTACAGACTACACATCATCACTTTCCAAATTGTGCAAAAAATGTTCTTAAATTTATAATTTTTTAGAGAAAAAGACTAAAGTAAGAGTAAAACATTGAAAAAATACCAAAATAGGACTTCCATGTTTTTATTACCGAAATAAGAGTTAAAATGCATTTACATTACCAAACATGGTCATGTACATTACCAAAAAGTATAGTAATGTGCACATGTACAGTGCCACATTACAACCACATTACCACAGTGCGAAGTCCTATTTCGAGAATAAAAACATGGAACTCCTATTTTGGTACTTTTTTCTATGTTTTAGTTCTATTAAGGGTGATTTCTTTAATTTTTAGCTAAAAAGTGATGTCTCACTGATCTTTATCTTGAACATTGTCTCACATATGTTTTTAGCATATTTCTAGAATCAAGACAGAATTTGGTTTTGATCAATAAACTATATGCAGGCTCGTGAGGCTGCCATGATGATTCAAGGGAAAACCGTAGATTTCCAGCGGAAAAAGAGCAAAGGTTCTTTGGGATGATACAAACCTCTTTATATAAACTTCTTTACAAATTTCATGCATGTGCATACTTCCACCTACTAGATCCTTCATTTCATACTTAGCTTTAAGAAAACAAGTATATCAATACTATGGTATGACACAAGTATTCCAGTGCTATCAAATCACAAATCCTCCTCATGCTGGTATTACTTTCTAGGTAGTTTGAGGAAGCTTGATGAACAGCCCCAGTGGTTGAAAGGAGGAAAGCTCCGTGACTATCAGCTTGAAGGTTTGAACTTTCTTGTTAACAGGTGTGGAAAGAGTTCTGCTTAGTGATATAAATTTCTTCTCTATACTATTTTATTCTGACGAGTGATTTGCAGCTGGAGAAATGACACAAATGTCATATTAGCTGATGAAATGGGTCTGGGTAAAACTGTTCAGTCAGTTTCAATGCTTGGTTTTCTTCAGGTACTGGCTCTTGTAGCTGTTTTTTTGTTAAAGTTTATTTGTTCTTGTTTTTTCATACTCATTGTGTTCATTATCCCTTCTGCAGAATGCACAACAAATTTATGGTCCATTTCTTGTTGTTGTACCATTATCAACTTTGTCCAATTGGGCAAAAGAATTCAAAAAATGGTTACCTGATATGAATGTTATTGTATATGTTGGAACTCGTGCAAGCCGTGAGGTAAATATTGGTGTGTGCAATTCACCTCTGTTTATTTGTTTGTCTTGATTGTTTTCTCATATGTGTCTAATTTGTGGTTTATAAACTATATACTCCGTATATGTTTCATTTTTAATTTGTTTTAGTTGTCTTTTGTCCGATATGGTTTGTTCTGGGTTGGCAACATGTTCATGTTTTCTGATCTGAGATCAGCTTCTCATTCTTATCTATTTGTGGGCCTTTAATATGATTTCTGCAATTATTCTTTTAGGAAAATAATATACTGGGTTTGTTGTTGGTGAATAATACAATTTGTCTTTTCTTTGTTTGTCCCGTATTCTGTCTTATACCATATTTGGCATAATTTATGTGAGACAAAACAATTCTTTTTAAATGCATTATCAACCTGTCTTATACCATATTATGTCTTATACCATATTTTATTTTTTTTAGGAAAATAATGAACTAATTTGTTTCTGAATTACAAATTATGTTGGTGAATAAGAAGCTCTCTCTCTCTATATATATACATACATACATACATACATATATATATATATATACATATATGTGTGTGTGTGTGTATATATATATATATAGGATTGACTCGAGTTAGATGACACTTTACGGTGAGATGACATGCTTTGGTGAGATGACGCCAAGCTCCCCACATTACACTGCAAAGCTCACCAATGGCCAATACAAAGCTCACCTGGAAATAAAACAAAGCTCACCATTTTGAACACCAAAACTCACAATTTTTTAAAATTTTTAAAATTAAAAAATTAATTAAAATTAAATAGCAACACCGGTCAGGGAAATGATTAAAGTGAGAGAGCAGTGTTTTGTGTGGACAAGGAGATGAAAGGAAGAATACAGACTAAAGCCAGAATTTCAAAGTACACAACAGTGGATCTGAGATGTGTTTTGTGTGGACAAGGAGATGAAAATGATTCTCACCTTTTCTGGGAATGTTCTAGCGTGCAACAGATTTTAAGGAAAAGTGGCAGAAAGCTCAACATGGACATTTCAGTGAGTAACTACTCTGAGTTAGAGGAATTCATTAAGAAGCTTCCAACCATGAAAGACAGAATGCAAGCTATAGCAGTGTGGGCAGCTAGCGTTTATGGTATTTGGAGGATGAGAACCAAAATCATGCACTAAAAGAAGTGTACGATTGAGGATACAATTGATTATATCTATTTCTATCTTACGAGCTATTTTACATATAGGAAGATGATGTAAATTGGAGGTCAAGGATGTTTGTATGATGTTGATGTGGTAATAAAATGTGTGTTTTATGTGCAAAAAAAAAAAAATAGCAACACCGGTCAGCAGCGGTGTCCGGCAGTGGCGGTGGGAGCAGCGGCGGCGGTCAAAGGTGGCGGTCAACGGTCAAAATCTTGTCTACACCCCTTTCTTTTGATTTTATTTTTTTTAAAAAATTCAAAGTGTTGAAAAAATATGGTGAGCTTTGCCTTACAATTTGGTGAGTTTTATAGTTGTCCTTGGTGAGCTTTGTAGTGGCCAGTTGTGAGATTTGCATCATCTAACCGTAGGATGTCATCTCATCGTAAGGTGTCATCTGATTGAAGTCCATCCCTATATATATATATATATATATATATATATATTGGAATATCTACGGTATTCAATTGGATTGTTCTCTCCCCCCCCCCCCCCCCCNCGGGGGGGGGGGGGTACGAACAATCAATTTTATGTTCGGAGAACCGTAGGTATCCAATTGAATTGGTGTAACATTATCCCCCCTCTCTCCCTCACACAAAATATGCAATATGTATATAAACATATTCGATTAGATTTTTGTTCAAGTGAGAATGATGCAAATTGAAAGAAATGGAAAACACATATGATCTATTGGATTTAGGATCTAGGGGCTCTATTAAAAAGTGAAAAATCTAAGAAAATGGAAAGTTGTGGTCGCATTTTGGTAATTAAACGAAACTTTGCTGCCACTGCAAAAATGCAGCAAGCGGAATGTGCATCACGATAGACAAAAAAATGCACTTTTTTGCATTTTTTGCGGCAAGGATCGTTCTCACATGAAGTGCACTATATATGTGCGTGTGCGTGTGTGTGTGTGTGTATATATATATCTGTGTGTAGTGTATGTATATTTATATATCAACTTCCTCCCCCCTAAAGGACACTCTTCCACACCCTCTCACATGGTGGTGGGTCCTTCCTTTGTGGGGCCCACCCGCATGTGAGAGAGGTATGGCACGGTGTGTTGTTATCTTAATCTCCATGCAGAATCATTCCTGCGTGCTATGTCAGCATGTGTTTCAAATTTCATCAGAATAATGAATTTGTGTTACAGTTGCTTACTTTCTACAACTCTTTTTGTTGATGTCTACAAGTAAATATTTTTAAACTACACGATTTGTAATGTGCAGAGGGGTTTTAAAATTTTTAATATTTTAATTTTCTTTCTGCTCCAGGTATGCCAGCAATATGAGTTTTACAATGAGAAGAAGGCTGGTAGGAGCATAAGATTCGATGCTCTTTTAACTACATATGAAGTTTTGTTGAAGGACAAGGCAGTTTTGTCTAAAATAAGGTGGAACTACTTTATGGTTGACGAAGCCCATAGGCTAAAAAACAGTGAGGCTTCTCTGTATACGACACTATTGGTATGTTGATCATGACTTTTTCGGGCAGTGCTTTAAAAAAGGTGGGTTTGGGGAGAGTCTCTAATGATTTGAGGGATGGTGCCAGTCTCGAACTCCTTGCTAATGCCTTAGAAAACATGTTGGTATATATAGTATTGTGAGGAACTGAGGATGCTTTCTGTACCTCAGTGTTTTTTTCTGAAACAAGTTAAATGATAGAATGAAATGGCTAACACCAATTGCCAATCTCCAGCTGCAATGTATCCTTTTTGAAATAACACTATATTTGTCTCTCTGGTCATATTTACTACAGTGAGTGGAAATCAGAAGCTAGAAAATTAGTAATGCTGAATTTTTATTGATTGTGCATATAGGTCACTTACAAATTACAGAGTGGTAGGGAAATGAAAAATGGTAGTGGGTGACTCATCGAGGAAGTGCAATAGTTAATGAGAAACTTTGAGATGCGACATGATTCCTTGAGATGGGAAGGATATCTGAAAACCTAATTAAATTGGGAAACTGTTCTAATAACCTATTTTCTTACTAACCATAAGGTGCTTATTCTATAATCATATCTAATTTATAAAATAATCATGGGACGTTAACGGATTGTGTATATCTTGACACCCAGACCCAATGGAGTTGGGGTTATTAACTCGGGTTTGTTGTTTTTGTAATTTGTTTTATGTTGTTTTACCTTTAACATGATACTTCGTTTTTGTTGTGATTGCAGGAATTTAGCACCAAAAACAAGTTACTCATTACTGGTACTCCTCTTCAAAATAGTGTTGAAGAGCTATGGTACTACCTCACTTGTTTGTTTATTTTTCTCTTTTTGAATATTTAGTTGATTTTGGTAACAATAAATTAATATGCGGTATTAGTTTTATTTATCAAAATTAAACTAAATATTACAATTAATATGTTGAAATTAATTTAGTGAATCATCTCTATACAAACACAACCATATTGGCATATGATCATCATCGGATGTGCTAATTCCTATGATATAATCAGGGCTTTGCTTCACTTTCTTGATCGTGATAAGTTTAAGAGCAAGGAAGACTTCATTCAAAATTATAAAAATCTTAGCTCCTTCAATGAAAATGAGGTAATACATGAAACATGATATTCTTCTACAATTCTCCATTGCTTCATTAAAAAGAGAATGTTAGTTCTCTCTATTAAAATAAGGTGCATATGAATGTCAGAATTTTTCTACAAGTTTCTATTGTTTTTTCCCATCAAGCGTCTTCTCTACATTTTCACTTGCACTTCTATTGGAGGCCTATGATGATTAGCTTTTTGTTATATTTAGTCTGATATTTTGCTTGAATGTTATTCTCTTTTGTTAGCTTGCTAATCTTCACAAGGAACTACGGCCTCACATTCTTCGTAGAGTCATCAAGGATGTTGAGAAGTCTTTGCCTCCTAAGATTGAGCGAATTCTTAGGGTTGAGATGTCACCACTGCAGAAACAGTAATTATTCTAATGATTTAATTCAGTTATTGAGTGATGGCTCTTGCTCATTAGAATGGTTTTAAATCTTCATTTTGTTTAAAAATCTGTCGCATAAAAATGGGTTATTTGTTCATATTAGTATTTTCTCATCACCGTGTGACAGGTACTATAAGTGGATCTTGGAGCGCAACTTCCATGATTTGAATAAAGGAGTGCGTGGCAATCAGGTTAATGAAACAGTTTACTATGTGTTCTAGACCTCTAGCCTTATAGGTTTTGTTGCCTTTAGTGCTTTACTCGAGGATGTTAATTTCCATATGATGAAGCTCTTACAAGCCTTGTAATTTTAGTGGCCTTTTTAGCTTGTAGAATGTTGAGCCTCTGTCTGATATATTGAAATGAGGCTCTCGAATGTCATACTACGTATTGTCAAAATTTTATCCAGCTGCTCATGAGGAAATGGAGAATATCCCCATTGATTGTGAGGGACAAAATTTCTGACTTTAAGTGTCTTCCAATAGCAATGGCAAAGAATGGCTAAGCACAGAAATTCCCCAGAGGTTCTGTTTCACTATTTTCCTAGAAAGAGACTAATTTCCCCTTTTACATTCGTAGAGTGTGAACAGTTAACATGTTCTCCATTTTGATTCTCCTATATTTCTATTCCAGAAAATGAGACTTTCTCCTCTCAGTACAACTATCATCTCATTACACTGCTAAATGTAACTGGTTTGCAATATTCTATGATGCATGGATATGGGTACGGTATACCAGATACATGTTTACAATAATCCATTTACCCTAGCTGTACCCCAATTGTACCCAAAGCGTACCCATTTTTTTTTTTAAATAAAAAATATCTTGGTATGTTCCTGAACATACCTAGGGTGTGCATGTACCCTAGGTACTATTGCCAAAATGCAGTACCCATTTTCATATGTTTAGGTTATTACCAAGTTGAGAAACCTAGCTGTCTTGTTATATATATGGAACCTTTAATATAATATCTGAACTTATAAACCATGTAGGTTTCACTTTTGAACATTGTGGTTGAATTGAAGAAGTGCTGCAACCATCCATTTCTCTTTGAAAGTGCAGACCATGGTTACGGTGGGGATGCCACCTTTTTTGGTAGCACTAAACTTGAAAGAGTCATCTTAAGCAGTGGGAAGCTAGTTATACTTGACAAGTTGCTTGAGAGATTACATGAAACAAAACACCGTGTTCTAATATTTTCTCAGGTTTGTGATGTTCGTACTGGCTAATGCTTGAATTCCAGAATTTTTATTTTATGAAATGCATTAGAAATTATTCAGTTAAAGCTATTTCAATTCTCTTATGTCCAAATTAGGTAGGGACTATAGTTTGTAAGGCGTCGCCTAGGAAAAAGGCGCTGTCCCTTGGATGCCTAGTCTGCTCGTTTGCCCAGAAAACTTTAAGGTGTTTAGGCGCTTGCCTAGGCGTCGCCTTACTCTTTCCTTGACGCCTTGGGCCCCTTTAAATATTTGAAAAATCCAATTTTTTTGTGCAGCCCAATTATTTTGAAAGCCTAATTTTAAATGTTTAAAAAAGATTTGACTTAAACTTGTGACCTACGATATATACATACATACATACATACATATATATATATATATATATATTATCTAGACATGTATATATATATATGTATGTGTGTGTCTATATATATATATATATATATATATATATATATAAGTAAGGGCGCTAAGAAATGTCTGCCCCAATTACCAATCAGGATCCCATCTTGAATACACACACACACACACACACACACACACACACACACACTCCCACCATTCCGTAAAACCCTTCCCCTTTCGTTTTTTTCTAATTCCCTAAAACACTTCCACTTTCTATTAAAAAACCACTTTTACCCCTATTTTTTCATACCCTACACATCACATCATACTTTTTCACTAATAACCAAATTATCACATCTTACTTTTACACATCACATCAGGAGCAAAATTGGAAAGTCAACCAAAATTACACTTTCCTTATTTTTGCCCAAAGTCAAAATGGGAAGGGTTTAATGGAACGGAGGGAGTATATATATATGTATATATATATATATATACACATATATACATACATACATACATATATATGTATGTATGTATGTATGTGTATATATATATATGTATATGTGTGTGTGTGTGCATATATATATATATATATATATAGGTTGCCCTAGGCGTGCACCTAGTCGCCTAGGCCATATGAAGGTACATTGGCGTCTTACAAACTATGGTAGAGACGTGAAAGATTACAACAACAACATTACCCCAGTGCCTCAAAGGCTCCTACCCATTGCGGGGTAAGGGGCGGTCAGACGTACGCAGCTTGGCCCCTATGTTTGAAACATTGAGCAGTTGCTTCCAAATGACCCATGATGAGCATCGAAAGTTGCATTAACTAACTCCTACTTTACTATTGAAGAAGTGCAGACAGTTTAAAGTCATTTTGCTTTATTCCATCATACCCCAAAGTTAATAAATCGTGAATCTTTGGCTCCATCGGAGATTATAGAAAGGACGTGAAACGATAGAGTTCTTTTATATCTAAGGATAAATGTTAAGTGTCTGTTCTATTGCATATTCAAAATTGCATCTTTAAGTCATCGTGCTTCTGAAGTTGCATTTCATCTAGGGTGCCATGTTCTCTCATGCTTTTACCGAACTGTAAATTGTTAAGCATATTCTTTTTCTTTCAAAGACCTCCCTGGTATTCTTTGTTCATCATCTTTTCATTGTAATAAACATGTTTCTGATTTGGGCTTCAGATGGTTCGGATGTTGGACATATTGTCAGAGTATCTATCATTGAAGGGCTTCCAATATCAGAGACTTGATGGTAGTACTAAGGCTGAGTTACGTCATCAGGCTATGGACCATTTTAATGCTCCTGGCAGTGAAGATTTCTGTTTTCTTCTTTCAACTCGTGCGGGTGGCTTGGGCATAAATCTTGCTACAGCAGATACAGTTATTATATTTGATTCCGACTGGAACCCTCAAAATGATTTACAGGTATACTGAAGTTTACTCTTTCGTTATGGAGATGGTATAATTCCATATTTTTGTTTTATTTTGAAATTTGAATACAATTTAGCATTTATATATGTCATTTTTTTCATTTAGTATTTATATATGTGAGACGGCGGAATGCTGACGCCCCTATACGGAGATGCGAGAGGATTACGGTTATCGGGGGAAGTAGGGGAAGGGGTAGACCTAGGAAGAATTGGAAGGAGGTGATTAGGCAGGATTCAGGACTTCTCACCCTGACTGAGGATATGGCTTTAGATAGGAACCTTTGGAGAACTAGGATTAGAGTATAGCTTGATAGGAGCCCGGTGCTGCAGAGGTTTTTTCTAGTGTGTTGTGTTTGGTTGGAATCTTTTGCTATTGCTTGCAGGACTTTCATTCCATTGTACTTGGTGCTTTATCTGTGTTATACTATGTTCCCTACCATATTTTTTGTGCAGGTTGAGCCGGGGGTCTCTTGGAAACAGCCTCCCTACTTCCGAGTAGGGGCAAGGTTTGCGTACACACACCCTCCCCAGACCCTACTGTAGTGGGAATCAACTGGGTTGTTGTTGTTGTTGTTATATGTCAATTTTCATTTACCATCTATGTATGCCATTTTTCTAAATCAGGCTATGAGCAGAGCTCACAGGATAGGGCAACAAGAAGTCGTCAACATTTACCGATTTGTCACGAGTAAAAGTGTAGAGGAAGATATTTTAGAGCGTGCCAAGAAGAAGATGGTATGACGTTTATGTATCCAACCATCCATCATTTTTTACCAAAATGATTCTGCTCATGCACTGTAATTGGTCTAAGAAACGACAATTTGTGTACATATGCATATTAGTAGTAGTTTATTACTCCTGGCCCCTTTTATTCTCTGCGCTTTCTTTTTTTCCTGCCCATGAGTAATCTTCTCAATTGCTTTAAGGAAAGAATTTTGTGGTTGATATCAAATATGTGATTCCTAATTTATCATGTGCACACAATTGCATTTTCTTAAAACAGTAAATTAAAAAGGGAGATGCTAGGGGTACACCAAAAATGTACCCCAAATGTACACCACTCCCTTTTTACATGCCAAAATATGTGGTAATGGAAGGGGTGGTGTACATTTGGGGTATACTTTTGGTGTACCCCTAGCGTTTTTGAATTAAAAAAGGACGGATGGAGTATCTACTAGTGAGTAGATATTTGTACTTCACTGCTTATAGTGATCATTGATTGTATGTAATATTGTGTGGTTTATGAACTATTCAATTTTATTCATCTGTTAGGTTCTTGATCATCTGGTGATACAAAAACTGAATGCTGAAGGTAGATTGGAGAAAAAAGAATCCAAGAAAGGAACTGTCTTTGATAAAGTAAGGGTTGAAGCAGCATAATAACGTTCTTCCTTATTTTGTATTTTTCGTTGTTACTATTGGCCAGATATTAAAATGCATTGACCCCGTCCCTCCACACCTTACTAGGAGACAAGAGTTCCGAAAGATAAAAGATACAGTAACAGAGCTTAAATGCATCTGAATGGCTTTTGTCGTTTATCCTTCTGTTCTGGCTTTGATTCTGACTCTGAGTTTGATGATATAGAATGAACTCTCCGCAATCTTACGGTTTGGCGCAGAGGAACTTTTCAAAGAGGACAAAAATGATGAGGAGAGCAAGAAGGGGCTTCTTAGTATGGACATCGATGAAATTCTTGAACGGGCAGAGAAAGTAGAAGATAAGGTAGCAGATCAAGAGCAAGGGAATGAGTTGCTCGGTGCTTTTAAGGCAAGGATCCTTAATTAATCCATGAGACAAATAGAATTAATTAGGACCGTGTCATATTGTTTTTTAAACATTGAAACTAGAGTTGAGGTTCTTTTGCTTTTGCCACCTAATCTTTCTTCTTTTGTTACCCTGCTACTGCTAGTTTGTTTTTTTGTATGATTTGAGTTTAAAATAGTTTACACTTTTTTTTGTTTTCCTTTTCTTTGTAGGTTGCAAACTTTTGCGGCGCTGAAGATGATTCTACTTTTTGGAGTCGGTGGATAAAGCCTGAAGCAATTGCTGAAGCTGAAGTATGTAAATTCAGCTTTTACTGTTAGGAAACTTGCCTTGTGTGTAGTGCTGATGAGTAGTCTGCTCTTCCTAATCTATAGGATGCATTGGCTCCTCGAGCTGCTCGAAATATTAAGAGTTACGCGGAAACTAACCCTATGGCTGAAACAAATAAGAGGAAAAAAAGGGGGTTGGAGACCCAGGAAAGATTACCAAAGCGTCGAAAGGCAGATTCTTGTTTCTCAGCTCCTGCGATTGAGGGAGCTTCCTCTCAAGTAAGAGGATGGTCGTATGGAAACTTGTCAAAGAGGGATGCCACACGTTTTTCTCGTGCGGTATGTGAAATCATGCTTTTAACTTGATTGATCTATTGGCTGAATATGTAACACTGTAACAGTGCTTAATTTTCTCCTTTATGTTGTGCGTCGGACTGCAATATTCTTTTGATTATGCTTTACTTCAATCAGGTCAAGAAGTTCGGTAATGATAGCCAAATTAGCTTAATAGCAGCCGAAGTTGGTGGGGCTATTGAGGCAGCTCCAAGTGACGCCCAGATTGAACTTTTTGATGCTCTCATTGATGGCAGTAGGGAGGCAATAAAAGCAGAAATTTTGGACTCAAAGGTTTGATTTTATCAATGATTAGTATTTTACCATAATAATAGTAATAATTATAATAGTTATAATTGTTATTATTATTGTTGTTATTTGGGTTGGGTTGCGTGCTTGTTTGGGTTAATCTTTGCTGCATGTTCTACGTTTAGGGCCCCCTGTTAGATTTTTTCGGCATCCCAGTCAAAGCTGATGAACTTCTAAGTCGTGTTGAAGAGCTTCAACTTCTAGCCAAGCGCATTAGTCGGTATGGTGATCCCATATCCCAATTTCGAGCACTAGCTTATCTTAAACCCGCTACATGGTCTAAAGGTTGTGGCTGGAACCAGAGTAAGTAGTGCTATGTTCTGGTTTAGATTTTAAATTTTCACGATTTTCTTCTATTTCAGTGAATACTTTTCTTTATAAAAAGGCTGCTTACACCTGTTTCTTCAGAGGACGATGCAAGGTTGCTTTTGGGAATTCATTATCATGGGTTTGGAAACTGGGAGAAGATACGGCTGGATGAGAAGCTTGGTCTTATGAAAAAGATCGCTCCTGCTGAACTTCAACATCACGAGACTTTCTTACCCCGAGCTCCCCAGCTCAAGGAACGAGCTTCTCAACTTCTAGAGATGGTAAGTGTTGGCTTCAACTTTTTGAAATCCTGCAGTTAGAAAGAAAGCCCAACTGAGTTATGACTTCATGAAGTCCTCTCATGAATTAATAGTATGATTATTGTCTTTTTTCATTACTGAAGCTACCTGTTCAGTGTCATTCTTGTTATGAAATCATACTAACATCCCATCTAACCCATGAAAATGATATTTTTATTAATGTAATATTAAAGCTTTTTTAGTGAATTTTTGGAGTGGCAGTGTGGATCAATTTCTATAGTCAAGGACAGTTAGGATATACTTATGTCATGCTGTTAAGAAGTGAACATATTATTCTAACATCCATTTTTGATGTAAATTTCCTGGAGAAGGAAGATTCCATGGCAAAGTATTTCTGGATAGAGTTCTAGGTGCCTTGGTTGTATGTTGATAGTTCTTTCCCGTGCAGTGGTGGTATGTTGAAAAAAGTCTTAATCAAGGTTTATAAATTACCTGACCACTAGGAAGTTGCTGCGGTTGGTGGCAAGACTCCTTGTGTAAAAGTTGGCCGCAAGGGTAACAAGAAGCAGGGCAGTGTTCCCAACATCACTGTAGCTTCTCTTCATCCAAAGGCTAAACAGGGGAAACCAGGCACCAAGGGCTTAGCTCAGAAGCCCCAGAAGGCTGAGCCGTTAGTTAAAGAAGAGGGCGAAATGTCACAGGATGAGGAAGTGTACAAACAATTTAAGGAGGGAAAATGGATGGAATGGTGTAAAGATGTGATGATTGACGAGGAGAATACACTCAACCGTCTCCAGAGACTGCAGACCACCAGTGCAGACCTTCCCAAGGAGAAGGTATAGTTATTTTGTATCATTAATGTCTACAATGTTTTTCTTATGTAATTGTGTTTCTGAATATGTGCTCTAAACTGCTCTTAATAATGTCATTTCACATCAGGTGCTATCAAAGATCCGAAATTATTTGCAGCTTCTTGGGCGAAGGATTGATCAAATTGTTTATGAATATGCACAGGATACATATAAACAAGAAAGTAAGGACTTCTAATCTTCTGATATGTGGTCTCTCTCTGCCTTGTGTTTTAATGATGATACTTTCTTGTAAATAGGGATGACGACACGATTATGGAATTATGTTTCAACGTTTTCAAATTTATCGGGTGAAAGACTTCAGCAGATATATTCTAAGCTCAAGCAAGAGCAACAAGTAGCAGGAGTTGGACCTTCACACATGAATGGTTCTGCATCTGGATTCATGAATAAGGGGTTTGACACAGAGAAATTTGAGGCGTGGAAGAGAAGGAAAAGAGCTGAAAATGATGCACATAGACCCATGGGTATTGGGGTTCGTGTACCCGAACCAAACTCATCTTCTGGGATTTTAGGCGCCGCCCCTTCTTCTTCTGATTATAGTAATAATAAGCATTTCAACAATAATGGCAGTAGGCCATCTTCCAGAACGAAGCCCTTCCCACAAAGACAAGGCTTCTCATCTGGTATCAAATAAACCTTTTACTGCCCACACATGAATGATCCCTCCTAGAAGGCAAATATGGAGTCTTGTTTGGACTCCTGTGCTCGCTGGAGTTATGTTGGCTGACGGAAAACAATTTTTTGCCAATTTTTTGGCCATAGTTTCAACTGTTATGAAGCTGTGCTATCAAACAGAGGGTGGAACTTTCAATTTCATGGTGGAAACTGGAATTTGGGAAGCCCCAAAACATCTCTGCCAGAGACAGTGAATGAATTATATGAAACTTTCGGCAACATAAAAGTTTATTGTTCACTATATATATATATATATATATATGTATATATATATATATATATATATATATGCAAATTACTAATTCTTTTTTTTCCCTTTCTGGTATATAGTTGTTAGGAGTTCCCCTTAGTTCGTTAAATGGTTCTTTGGGGGAAAAAGATGATGTATTTGTTATGCTTTGCACGAACTGTACAACATGCAATTTTGCTTAATGAATGTCGAGACATTATTCTTTGCCATTTATCACGTCTACATAATAGCTTTCGATATGCAGATCTGATGTATTTACTTAACTTTCTGGGTTGACATATCTCAGCTTCTGGGCAAATGACAATTTATAGCTGAAATGACTGATTTTTTTTTGTAAAAAAGTGTTGGCGACATCATTTTTCAGCTAAATAAGCAACTCCAACAGATGATGTAGAATAAATTGTCTTTGGCTCCCGATTCGGGCCTAAACTGATTTTTGGGGATTTTCCAAAGCGCCACCGACTCTTTTTACTTGTATTTTGGGGTTATACATGTGTGTATGTATATGTATATATTGTGTGTGTGTGTGTGTGTGTACACACACACATGTATCTATCTGTGTGTGTGTGTGTGCAATAAGCAGGATCCTTTGATACGAGTATGAACATTGGCTTGAGATCCTGCCTCCTAGAATGATTATCGTCTTGTTATTTCCAGGTACGCAAGGTTTTCAGATGCTGACTACTAAACCGATATTCCTCTCTTTAGTTTAATTATTCATATGAAATGAACTGTCAAGCTGTTCTGATTTGACAGGGTATTGACAATAAACGGCAGCACTCAGTTTTGAAGGTACAGACGCTAGGATTCAGCTCTGCTTAATTTCAAATCCTAAATCCAGAAAGCTTCTTGAAATCGGGTACTCTTTAAGGCCTTCACTGTTATACTTCCTACCAGTTCATAATTAACGTAAGCCTGAGATGTTTATACTATTCATGCTCTCATTTGATTACCGTTTGTGATTTATATGTAAAATCTGCTCATTTTGTCCTTTAAAAACATCTTATTTAATATTAACAGGGTTAATTTTTTTCATTTTTATTTGCACTTCTTTTTAATTATGATAAAATAATGCGGTAGTGTAAGATTGACATATTTTATTTTGTAGAAATTTTGATTTATTATTTAATATATACTGTAATTAAATTTGTCAATTTCGACTTACGATATTTGATTGGAAATAATTTTTGATTCATTTTATATGAAAACTGCCATGGAATTTTAAAATAAAATTTACAGTACATGTTAAGAAATTACATCCAAAATTCTTAAACAAGTGATTACATGTCTATCATTTTATACATTGAGTACCAAAAATGATTAATAAAAGTGATTAAAGTTTGACTTTATAAATAATGAACATATATCTTAAACTGGGACAGATGGAGTATTATCTAACCTACGCCAAATAGTAAATTGATTCAAACATAATTTTATTTAGACATGGCAAAGTCGTTTTTGAGGGAAGAAAAGAAAGTACGATGTATATATACTCAATGCAGGGTCTTTTTAAATTTGTCTCGATATAAAAATACTCCTTATCAAATTGTGCTTATGAAATATTACCTCCGTCCCTGAACACTTGTCCAATTTTGACATTTTTGGTTAATTGTTCTTAACTTTTAACTTTAATTTAAGGTTAAAATTTTCAAATTTTGACCAAAAAAATAAAAAATATACAAATATTCAAAGACGGAAGAAGTGCATTGTAATGTACTTGGTCCGTCCCTGAGTGTTTGTCCACTTTTGACTTTTGGAACTGTTCATCTAAGCACTTTGACTCATCAAATTCTCTCAATGTGTAAGCCTAAAAATAGTCATGTGTGATCTTGTTTGATTCGTCTTAACATATAGATTATTAATATATAATTTTTATAATTTTTTAATATACAAATTACAAGATAAAATGGATTAAAGAAGTGCATTCGATGGTGTGCAAAAATGAAAGTGGACAAACACTCAGGACGGAGGGAGTATTTAGTTTCCCGACATTAACAAATTGACAATTTGACATNACTTTAATTTAAGGTTAAAATTTTCAAATTTTGACCAAAAAAATAAAAAATATACAAATATTCAAAGACGGAAGAAGTGCATTGTAATGTACTTGGTCCGTCCCTGAGTGTTTGTCCACTTTTGACTTTTGGAACTGTTCATCTAAGCACTTTGACTCATCAAATTCTCTCAATGTGTAAGCCTAAAAATAGTCATGTGTGATCTTGTTTGATTCGTCTTAACATATAGATTATTAATATATAATTTTTATAATTTTTTAATATACAAATTACAAGATAAAATGGATTAAAGAAGTGCATTCGATGGTGTGCAAAAATGAAAGTGGACAAACACTCAGGACGGAGGGAGTATTTAGTTTCCCGACATTAACAAATTGACAATTTGACATTTCTGAACCAACCATTTACTCTTTTGTAATTATCAATATTTACTTTTCGTATAGATAAAGCCAAATACCCTAGACACTAACCTTTGTGTGGAGTGGAGGGCCGAGGGCGGGGGAGTAAACAATCAAAAAATGTTCCTGAAGTGATCATGCGAAAGTGTAAAATCTTAAAATGGTATCCTTAATAACTATGTGTTTCTCAAATTAGTCTCTAGGATAAACTAAGTGAAATTTACACTGAATAGAACAAAAACATAAGTCATTTTCTAATATAGGATTTAAACTTTTTTATTCCTTAAATAGGACTTAATAATGACTAGTGAGAAGAATAATGTCCAAGTGATGCTGGACATTTAGTTGAATAATGACTAATAGATAATGACCAATGGTCCTAAAATGGGAAATAAAAACATATGCTTCTATATCGAGAAAGTCATTATGTTTTAGTCCTATTTAGGTAAATTACCCAAAAATTTAAAATTTGGGATATTTGTACTAATATAAAAAGGCATTTTCTAAAGTATTGGATTATATTTTTTTTTACTTAGGGTGAACAGTACGACATCAGTAAATGGTACGGAGTATTTGATACCAAAAGTTATGAGTAAATTCTTAAAATGGTCCTTTCACTCCTTTGTAATAAGCTATTTTCCCAATTCAATCCTCAATAAATTTTACCTACGTGGTCCTCTATAATTGAGATTTATTCCTAAGATAATCTTTCATAAATAATCTTACTCAAATAATGATTAATTGAGAGATATTTTGATATTTTGATCATCCAAATTAAAAATATATTCTCAAAACAGTCATTTCTGTACAATTAAATGTAAAATTTAAAAAATACATTGACTATAAATAATTCATGAATTATTAAAAAAACTTATAAAAAATCTTTTGAATTTCAAATCAAATACACATATTTAATTAGAAAAAACCATTTTGGGAAAGCATTTCATTATAAATGATCATTTTAAGAAATTAATTCTAAATTTAGCAAATAAAAATACCAAAATACTCCCAATTAATCATCATTTGAGTAACATTACTTACGAAGGACTATCTTGGAAATAAGTATCAATTATAGAGGACCACGTAGGTAATTAAATTTATTGAGAACTGATTTGGGAAAACAGCTTATTAGAAAGGATTATTTTGGGAATTTATTCAAAAGTTATTTATGTGAGATTTTGTATTTCGTTTTGTATTTATGTGATACCAAACGGAATCGCTAAGACATTGTGTATTAGTTTGTCATGCATACTCTATTTATGTATTTCGTGTTTATCATCAACATTATTATTGAAATTGAAAAAGTTGTTTTAAATTAATAATTATAACCTATTTATACAAACATAATCCATATTTCTTTACACCTATTTTTGTATCTCACTCTCTCGAAGTCTCAAAAAATAAAACTTTACTTCCTCTTATTTTTTTGTGATTGCTATTTTCTTCTATTTAGTGTTGTAGTTTGTTTAAATCAATGAAATCTTATTAATTATTTACCGTGTTAATTAAATCGGTGGGGTTCTAGTGACACCCACGTTTAATTTGGTGACACTAGTGGTGCCACTGTCATTTTGGGGTACTTTCAGTACTCCGTTCGTAAAATTGACGATTCCTACCCCCTAACCCAACTCCTAAACCCCCCACCTACTCCCGCCCCTGCACCCCCACCCCAACCCCCGCCGTAAGCCCCGCACAAAATGTGTGTCTATTATGCAATGAATAATAGACACACATTTTGTGGGGGACTTACGGCGGGGTTGGGGTGGGGTGTTGGGGCGGGGTTAGGGGTGGGGGTTTAGGAGGTGGGTTAGGGGGCTAGAAGCCGTCAATTTTACTTACGGAGCACCGGAAGTGCCCGAAAATGACAGTGGCACCGGAGTGTCACCGTACTCCAGTGTCACTAGAACCTCATCGTAATTAAATAGTTATAATTTATCTTTTTTAAAAAGTTTATTATTAAAAATTAAACATTTAAAAACTTTTTAAAATTAATGTATATTATGCGTTTAAGTTATTTGTTTAAAGAGTAGTTGTAGTAAATTGATGAATTGACGTATGCACACCCAATTCTAGTAAGAAAAGTATGAAATTAGTAGAATTTGAGATAGCACTCTGATATCTAACTTTTAGTTTCATTATCATAGTTAATATTATTTCTAGTTTTGTTATTTTTTTTGTTTTTTATTTTGGATTAGTATTTTCTTTTATTTAGCACTGTAGTTTCACTTAAATCAATACAATGTTATCGTATTAATTAAATATTTAAAATTTATATTTTTTTAATGTATATATAACTAATTATTAATAAAATTAATTATTGAAAAACTATTTTGAAATTAATTTTTATTCTAATTCTATGTTTATTATAAGGTAATAATAATAATAATAATAATCATTGATTGGATCTGATCTGATCTAATCTGATTAGATCTAATCTGATGAGATCTGATCTGGTCTGATTTGATATGATTTGATTTTAGTAAAAATAAGAAAAAAAAAGAAAAAATAAGTTGAACGGAACGGGACCTTAGTGTATGGACACCACCATTGCAATAATTACACTTTTTATTTAATATTTACTTATTTCTATTTAAATTAAATTTTATCTTTTATAAAAGAATAAAAAATTACTTTATATGCTTTCGGATTTATTATTATTCTTTTTTTCTTTTGGTATTGTCATATCTTTCGTTCAACATTATTATTATCTTTTTGGTTTTTCCTATTTTTATGTTATAACAATTAGATTAAAAAATATAAACAAAAAATAAGTTCTTTCAGTTTTATTTTTTACCACGGTCAATGGAACAAGAAAAAATAAATCATAGGAAAAAAACTTTGTTGTACAACTAAAAAAGATTACAACTTTTTACACATTTTTTAATAAGAAAATATAAGTGTGACATAATTTAAAATTACGTGTTTCGTTCTGAGAAATAATATTAAGTTCAACTCAGAAGTATTTTGGTGAAAATACAAGCGAGTCATAACGTTAAAATTATATATTCAATATTTGTGCTATTGGCTAGATCTTGTGAAATATTTTTATTGACATGTTATTTGTCAAGTATTGACATATGTACAAAAAATTATGAAATAAATAAGTTTTGAAGTATAAAACTTAATCAAACAAAAAGATTCAATTCTGTGATAATGGCCACAGATACTTTCAGGCGAGCAGCTCACGCGACATGCGGCGTGGTGTTCACCCATGAAGCAAGCCGATGTAGCAGTGACAAGAAAGACCATGCCAAGCCTTAGGTGGGAGGGACACCTCTACCAAGTACTCAAAGTAGTCAAACTTATCATCCAGTAAAAGGTCAAATTACTCAAGTACTCCNCTCCTGTGATTCTGAAAATGAATATCAATACCCTCTGTTTTCAAAACTTATTTCTAAAACTCTATAGTTTCAAAATCTTGCTTAAACACCCCTTTGAGTCATAACGTTAAAATTATATATTCAATATTTGTGCTATTGGCTAGATCTTGTGAAATATTTTTATTGACATGTTATTTGTCAAGTATTGACATATGTACAAAAAATTATGAAATAAATAAGTTTTGAAGTATAAAACTTAATCAAACAAAAAGATTCAATTCTGTGATAATGGCCACAGATACTTTCAGGCGAGCAGCTCACGCGACATGCGGCGTGGTGTTCACCCATGAAGCAAGCCGATGTAGCAGTGACAAGAAAGATCACGCCGGGCAGAAAGGCAAGCGCCATGCCAAGCCTTAGGTGGGAGGGACACCTCTACCAAGTACTCAAAGCGCCATCCGGTCCGGCCCTTTGGACCGTAACAAGCATTGAACCGATGCGAATCGGTGAAAACCAGTGTGAACGGGGCGGTTCGACCGGCCGAACTAATTTTTTTTTTTTTTTACAATTTTTTCGAAAACATGCAACCATTGGGGTTTGAACCTAAAACCTTTTAGACATTTGGTTGAGTTCATAACCATCTAAGCAAGAGTGTTTCTTGTTACAAGTTCACTTAATCCTTTATAATATTACATAATTAAAAAAAATTGTATAAAAATTCCTTTTTAATTTTAAAAATATAATATTATATAGCTATGAATCAAACACAAAATCATTAATATTATTGATATTATTACAAAATGAATATCATGCAAAGATTTCATTTCAGTATTTTTTAATATTAAACAACTTATTTGAAAAAAAATAAAGTCAAGTCTTCATTTATAAAATTGTAAATATTCTTTTTCTAATATGTAAATTTTATTTTTTAACTCATTAAAATAAATCAAGTATTTTAATATACTTTTATTATTTATTTATTTATTTATTTATTTATTTAATTTTTAAATATGTTTAAACAACCGGTTCGACCAGTTGAACCACTGGTTCGACCAGTGAACCAGTGAACCAGTGAACCAGTACCTTGACTGGTTCGGTCACCGGTCCGGTTCTGAAAACTATGAGTGAGGGTACATTTTACTTTTTCTTTTCACTTTTTGAGGGTGTATTTTGCTTTTTCCCCCTCTTGTTGAAAAAGAAACAAAACACAATCTTACGCTCCTCTGTTGAGGCGGAATATCGCTCCATGCCTAATACTGTTTACAAGCTTAAATGGCTCTGCTCGCAGCTGACCTCCTTAGACATGCGCCAGCATGGTCCGAAGACGCTCTTCTGTGACAGTCAAAATGCTTACACATTGCTGCTAATTCTATTTTTCACGAAACATATTGAGATTGATTGTCACTTTATCCGAGATGAAATCCACCGTGGGGTATTACGTACTGCTAATCACTTCCGATGAATAGCCAGTCGATATTCTTACTAAAGCTTTGCTCATGTTGCCTTTTACTCATTTATTATTCAAGCCGGGGACTCAGAATCTGCACGCTCCAGCTTGTGGGGGAGACGCACGCATGGGACTAAAAGAAAGGAAAACTGAATCCTCTAAGGATCCGATTCGATTGTGTTATTTCATGTTATGGAAGCTTTTACACTGTTTGGCTCAAGAAATTTGAAAAGAAAAGAAAACAATTTTCTCTCATTTTCTCACCAAAACGGGAGGAATTTAGTTTCTCTCCACTTATTGGTTCAAGGAATCCGAAAAGGAAAAAAAATGATATGAAAACAATTTTTTATATTTGGTTAGAGAAGAAAATAAAAAAAAGTAAAAGGAAAATCAAATGAGAAGGTAAAACATACTAAAAGAAAGGAAATTCATATTCCTTCCATTTTGGTGAAGAAAATAAAAAAATCATTTTCATTTTTTCCTTCGAAATTCCTTGAACCAAACATAGTGTTAATACATTTTATTTTCTCATTTTCGTTTCCTTCCATTTTTTCTTATTTTTTTTCTCTAAAAAAACACAAGAAAAGCTTCTTTCCCCTTCATTTTTTTTCTTTCAAATTCCTAGAACCAAACATAGTATTAAAGTCTTGATATGAGTAGAAGTTTATTTTTATGATTTTTATTTCTTATATAAAGAGGGTCTCGTGTTTGTATTAGCCAGAACCTTTGGATTTAGGAATATGCAAATTTATGTCCCAATATTAAATCTAACAGTACCATTTTGAAAATTTACTTTGTTTCTCTATATATATGTAATTCAGGGTATGTTTGACTGTATTTTCATACTCATTCTACATACTTACATCTTGTACGATGAAAATATATTGATATACCCCGATTCCTCGATATCACTTTAATTTGAAGGCATGTTTCACGCAAGTTTCTTCACGTACTTAGTATACAATTCGCCTCTAATGCTACTACGCAACTTTGCTTCCCCTCCCAGATTTCCAACAAAGTTTAGAAGGCTAAACTTGAATTCAGGGATTCCATTCAATGAACATAGATATAATCCTTCAATTGTCTCCCATATATTCAAAAGCCTGGAGCTTCTGCCAATATATTCTAAAATCCTTCAATTTTCTCCCATATACAACTAGATTTCACAGCCTTTGATTGACTGCAAGGAGAATCCTATGCTCAGGCTGCAATGTTACTTCATCGTACGAAAGCATTGTTGTGTTAGCTTACTGTTCCATTATATTCTCTTTATACTATCGCCATGGACAGCAACGATTCCTTCACTTGCAAGAGTGTAGATCGCATTTCGCAGCTGTTAAAATTACAAAAAAAAAAGATATTTCAGAAAGAAACAAAATATGCATTTGTAGACAGTGTGGGAGAGAGTTACATCATTGAGGTTGGGTTCAATGCCAGAACTTTTCTTCTTCACCTCCTCCAGTATCTGAACATTAATCTCAGAATGTGAGTATCCAATTTCTTAATGTTCGGAAAAAGGTCATATTCTTCGGGAAGAAAGCAAGTTCTACTAACCTCAATCAACCGAAGTGGTGGCCCTCCGAGCTGCATCTTTTCCCTAACTATGTCGCGGGTGTCTGATAGCAGGTTTTCTCTTCTCACCCTTTCACTTGCAGAAACTCCGGTAGTAATGAGGTCCATATCAATGGTTCCTATTTTAGTGGATAATATAACAGCAAAATTATTATTGTTCACTCACAGAGGTCTTTATTTTAATAAATGCAGGCAATATGAACAATAATAAGCATTTGTAGTTCATATTTTTAAAATCCCCAAGACAAAACTACAATTAAGGCTTATCCCAATCTCAAGTAAATTGAGCTCAGCAAGAAACCACCCTTTGAGATCAGTTTTATCTCCGAACTGATGAATACTTATTTTCATCCATTCCAGGTCACCAGATGATTACATTCAAAATTCATATAATGCTTCAAAGATAGTAATAGTAATAATAATAATAATAATAATAATAATAATAATAATAATAATAAGAACAACAATAGCAATAATAATAATAATAATAATAATAATAATAATAATAATAATAATAATAATAATAATAATAATAAAACACCGGAGATAAACATATAACCAAATGTGCTTGAAGATTCATTAATGTGCATAATACGTTCCATCCTAGTTTACCTGTGGCAATGTGCTTGAAGATTCATTAATGTGCATAATACGTTCCATCCTAGTTTACCTGTGGCATGGTCTGTGGCAGACTGTTGCAATGCAACTTCTAGAAGCCTGAATGCCTCCAATACATCTCGCTTTTCAACCTGCCATCCGTGAGGATAGTAATTAGTTACCTTTATATTTATATTTTGAATAAATTCTATAAATACTCTTGGGTTAAATATGCTTATAGTCCATGTGAAATGAGCAATTTTTGCTTTTAGTCGCTCTAAAATATTTTTCTACTAAATCATCCCGGTAAAATATCTGTTTTTGCAAATGGTCCTCTCACCAACTTAGGGGCTGTTTGTTTCAGCCTCTTAATGGTTCAGATGTCTGAATGGCTCAGTCATTTGCCTCTGAATGGTTAAGTATTATACAGAGTCTGAATGGTTAAGACCTCTTATCTGAATTGATCAGACATTTGCCTCTTAATAGTTAAGCAGTATACTAGCTCTTAATGGTTGAGACCTCTTACTGGTTCAGCACTTAATGGTTCAGACCTCTTACCTCTTACTGGTTCAGCACTTACCTAAAGTTGCCAAACAACCCCTTAGAGTTAATTTGTTAAGATTTAAAAGGACCTAAAACAAAGTCGCTTTGGATTTAAAACATTTTAGAGGGACCAAAAACAAAATCACTTTTTATACATTAAATACAAATTCAACATTAACTCTAAAATTAAAATAAATACTGAAAGGAGTATTTGCAAAATGAACTATTCTACAAGGATGTCTTGATGCAAATTATTTTAGTAAGGCTAAAAGCAAAAGTCATTTCTTTTAGAGAGACCAAAAACATACTTAACCCAATAGTCTTTTAAAACAGGTTATCTGCATATAGTCCTTAATTCTGAGCCATTATGTTTGGGGTCTTCTATATTTCAGAACTATTTTATGATCGGTTTTTTGGACCCAAATATGTTTTTCCACATATATTCCACAAAGAATTGATTGTAGAATCGTTCTCAAATATAGAAGGCCAGGAACATAATACTTCAAAATTGAGGACTAAAAATATATGGAAAACCTCATATTATAGAAGACTATAAAATTTACTTTTATTATATACCAGAAACTGTGATTAAGAGAAAATATAATACTGACACATTCTGAGAACCGAATCCGAGCAAGAGCTTCACTAAGACGTATTACACTCTCAATTTGCCTGGGTGTGGCTGTAATGACCTGTAGGATATAAGAGACCGGTTATGCTCTATATTGCATGCAGGACCAATTCATGGCTGACAGAAGGCAATTTACACTGTTACTTGTACATCAGAAGAACTAAAATACTTGAATGTTTTTTGACAGCTTGAACATACTCCCTTTGTCCCACAATATTTGTCTCCGAACAACGTGCAAAATTTATCACTTTTAAAATCATTTTAATTACAAATTGGTATAGAAATAAAAACTACTCCCTCCATCCCAAAAAGATCAACCCATTTCATTTTTTGCGCATCCCATAAAATATTTTTACCCACATCTAAAGTGCATAAAATTCATCACATTTACCGTTTATTGTGGGTTTGTTTTAAAAGTTTTTTTGGCATTTGAGACGAGATAAAAGTGTTTTATGGGATGCGCAAAAAATAAAATGGGTAGATCTTTTTGTGACAGAGTACAAATTACACCGTTCTAAAGTGCATCTAAAGTTCTACAAAAATTGATATGACAAAAATATTTTATTTTATCA